CACCAATGGAGGATGATGAAATGAGCATAAAGTCAGGTCAGTTAGCTTATCTTTGCAAATGGCAATTTACCACAATGGTTTCCAGGGGGAACCGCAGGTCAACCTGACATGGCACATTGCCACATTGCCCTTCCTCCCGGACATCAGGATTCGGTTCCATCTACTTCGATAATAAATACTAACATGCAAATAATGTAGGTATGTATATATAGGTAGTTTTCTTTCGAATTTAGGATATGTACAAAATGTTTTTTATCTGGTTTTCTGTAATAAAGGATATTCTAGAAGTAGAATCGAATCCAGTTCTCTGTCTAAACTTTTGTCATTAATAGAATTATCAAGAAAAGTTTGTACTATCCTCATTGAGTTCAATGGTATTCACGGGATGACATGTAAGAGCAGGAGCTATGTGTATTCCCGACACGTCTCTCTGCGGGAGACGAGATACAAATCCAGAGGGAGGAGGCTAGGAATCTGTTCGCATATACCTTCATGTTCACCTCACTGTTATTTATACGCGATTGAAAGAAAAATACGTGCATGATCGCGTGCCATGCTAAAACCGTTTCACGACTGAATTGGAACATACGAGTGGTAGCTGGATTGGTTTAGTTTGAATACACAATAAAGTTTAACGTTTTATTTTATTTGGATAAAGTACTTAAGATAACACTATGTTTTTTTTAATTGTATTCTAAAAGAGATTATATATATTCTCTTATATTTATCAATTTCTAAAAAAAATACTTCATACATATATGCATTATTATCACTTAGATATAATTTCAGTAACCAATGTCGAAAGCGTAACAAGTGTGTCTTTTTTATTCTAATATTTGTGTTATACTATGTAATATTATGTTATCTGTGGTTATACTATCATATTACTATGTCAGTACAGAATCAAGATCAACTGGGCTTTCCAATAGAAGTCTAATATGAAGTGTTTGAAGAAGCCTTAAGAGTGAGCCTTAAAAAATTTTAACCCCTTTTTTAAAACCTTAACCTACGTGTACATTAAAGTTTACTATGCGATACATTATTTATAGTCACATATTTTTATTAACGTAACTACTCAGCTTTAACTATTGTAAATTAACTTACGTACCTACTATATTTTCTGCTAGCGTGGTGGTGGCATTATCTGAAGTGACCGATTATATTTTAATGTTCAAGAAGGTACCTAAAATAATAATATAACTTTCTATAATAAAAAGAACTTAATCTATCCCTTCATATAATCATACATAACATAATATTGAATAATATAAGTATTTTGTGTGTAGGTTTATAGTTTGCTCAGATATTTTTTTATTTTAAAAATATATCACAGGTAATCATTTCTAATACTTAAAATATCTTATAGATTTTAACTTAAAAGCGTAGGTAGCCTAAGTTACATTAAAAAGAAATGAATTATAACCTATCATGCAATGATACAATTTAACGTGGTGAAAACGAACTCCTTTACACCTCAGCCCTCTGTTCTGGCAGTAACGTCTTGAACATTTAATAAAGTGATAAAATACTTGTGCTTACCCCAAACACGCGATATTTTTATGATTTCATTTCATTGCTTTTTATTAGCTTCTTTCTTGCTTATACTTTTTATTCCAAACAGTAAATTGATATAACGAGGGACAAAAAGAATTTTAGATAGCTACTCTATAAAGATTTTTATAAGGTCGTCAAGGTTGCTTCAAAATCTACGTGTTATTTTGTTATTCTTTTCGTTTATTAAGACACTTCGGAATGTCATTTTATACTCGACATTTAAAAAAGAAAAATGTCTGTCATAAGTACATATATTCACATTATTTCCCTGTGTACGGTCTTTAATAGTACATATGCACTGCTATCTACTCTATAACCTATTAATAATTAACAACCACTTAATATATATTATATTTTAAAGAAGGCACAGGTCAGTTATATCTCTCCGTAGTACAGTTAGGCCGCAGCAGTTACTATTATGTATACTAAGGAGCGTGTGGAAAAGGGGACGGAAACTCAACTCTAGAGTAGTCGTTCTACGCACTTGCCTTAGATCCTGCACTGTGCTATGTATGCATTATGTATAAATTATCACCAACCTGGTAAGAAAAGGAGGTATGGCATGTCTGCTCCTTAAGCGCACTAAGTGCACTTGGAGTGAAATAACGTTTCTTGTGCAAAATTATTATATTTACTCATTCTCAAATCAGTTAATAGTGTGATATAATTTTAGTTACAGTAAATATCTGTTTAAACTCTGATGACTTGGTTTAAAATAGTAAATAATTCGTAGAAATAATCTACGAATCCATTGAGAATATAATAAGATCGAATAACAACAGTTAATTCTGATTAAATTTTGTTTAACCTGTGTATTTGTTATGAAACGGTTTCAATTTTATGGTCGGAAAATTAATGTATATAAGTAAGTTTGCCAAATATAGCGAAAAATGTTTTCAAAACAGGATATCTTCAGAATAAACTCAAGTTTGTTTGAAAGAGCACGCAAATATAATTTCGTCTTTACTTAAATTATAAGTACTTATTCTGTTTACAGTTTACACATTTTCTGTGAAATTCCAACTCGCTCCCAAGACGCGTTTCACTTTTTGGTTAATATCTATTGCTTATTTTTCCCCTTCATAATGCCTCAAGGGATTCCGGTGGCCCACGTGATTTATGGCTTATGCAAAGAATGAGAGGATATTTTCTACACCATAATTCAGGGTAGTTGAGATTAGAGGCGGGTCTGTATGGAGGATGATATATCAATCTGTTCCTTTCCTACATTTCTTTTTATTTTCTCGTATATTACATAAGTACTGTCAAATAAATAAAGTGGAACTGTTTCGCGTTAATAATATCGTGCGGATGAAAATACCTAAATCTACAGGTATATATTCATCTTTAACATCGTTTCATTCGTCATTAACTCCTGAAATAGCGCTATTATAATTAATGATCTTTCTTGACTCGATTATTCTTCCCAGTAATAAACTCATATTCATTATAATAATTCTCAAAAATGTACTAATTATGGTACATTTTTCAGATATAAATAAATCTATCAAGACAGAGTTAATAGTTATTCTCACCTAATAAGTCAGTAATATACTTTTCTGTTTTTTTTATTTTCCTGCTAGTGGAGTTCTATAGGCAGGTATTTATTTCTTTATATCTATATAGTGTATGCAGATAGATTATTTATTATTATTATCTATTATTTATTCATAATGGAATGTGCTGGACGATTGTCCAGCGTTTATGCAGATGGGCGCAGTATTATCACAAGAATAGAGGAGTTTAATCTCTCACTGAATGTAGTTTGGAGCATGAAGAACAGTAATAGGCTGATGGTAAGCTCTATCTATGAGGAAGTTATACCGCGGATAGAGGCGGTGGAGACAGAGTGGGAAACTGATCTTTCTGCCCTACCAATCCGCCGCATAAGACGAATCCGATCTAGCGTGTACCCAACTCTGCTCTACTCTATTACGCAAGGGCCTGGGTGCTTGCCTCGAGGGATAAAACGCCTCAATCGTACACCCCCAGAGGCCTACGCGTAGGTGTTTCACAACGAAGTAGAGCAAAATAGGTCGCCCTTACAATGAGATCAGATCAGACCTACACCATCTACATGGCAGGTCAATACCGCCAGAGTCACAATATAATGCAAATTGTAACTCCGGCAAAGCAGTAACTTGTACTCGTCACTCATTCTTAGGGGGAAAGACAGATCCCCTAGTCACCCCTTCGGCGAGAGAACCGTTTTCTGATAATTTTTTCACACATTAAAAAAAGCCTTGACGTCTTGGTTCTCCAGAATAGCAAGTAAAGGACAATATTGGTGACAAATGATGTGTTGTACTATAATATACATGGTACTTTTGATTTATATATGCATCGGGTTATACTTTTCAACATATTTGCCATTTAGGTTATATAAAAAAATCTTACAATAATTTTTAAATACTTAAGAACTCCATAATTGTTTTCATAATTAAAACTAATTTGTCAGTGATCTCTTTTCCATGTTTAAGTAGTAATCAAGTTCTAACCATCAATCTAATCGGTTTGCAGCCATCCGCTCGTTCCATCTGGCGCCGGGGTGTTGTATAAACCTCAGCACTGTCCCGCAATTGTCTGTGTCATTAAATTAAAAGCCTTCGTGTTAGAAGGTCATTAGTAATATCCCAGCACCTAGAGCCTCATTCGTACAAGGGCACGGTTGGCTAAACAGTTAACTAATTTATTATTATCCATAAATTTATGATCAAGACGTTGATAAGACACGTCCACGTGGCTTCCAGTGTTTGTACTAACTCAGTTGTGTTAATCATTGGGTCGCTGATAAAATCGATAAGTCCGTAGTTATTTTTTTGTATGGTTCAGTATGAAACGGTGCAATTGCCTGCGGTAAGTTATACTCTGTCGTAGCATATAGTGGTGATTAAACGTGATGGTTTCCAGAAACTTAACATGGTACAATGATCCTAATTACTCACAGTATCTCCCTCCTCCCGCACTCATCCTACTCCGTAGGTATTATGCGGTACTTTCCAAATGTCTATCTCTATGTATGATTTATGTTATTTAATTTCGCCAGCACTGATATACGTACGAAACCTACCTATGTAAATCTTCTCAACTCCATATAAGTATTGGAAATTTTTGCGATCTTCTGCGGCTTCAGGTTTAATTTTTTTTTTATTGAATTTTAATTTATAATCTTATTAACATTATAAACATGAAAGTTTGTAATTATGAATGAATGTTACTCTTTCACGCTAAAATTACTGAACGGATTTTGATGGAACTTTACATTAATATATAAAATTCACGAGGTTCACCCTCGTGAAATTTATATATTACTTACTTACTTATTCATATATTACCGCGGGCACAGCTAGATATTTATATTTTTATTTAAGGGAGTAAAAAGGCTGTCAATGCTATAAACATTGCGTTACTTTGTATAATATATTTAAAAAAAACACATTCACGGGTTGCAGTCTCTTTAATTTATCATTTGTATTCATTAAACTAAGATAGTTACATCAAAACACACATTGCGTAACAAATTGGACTGGAAGATATGTTAGAACCAGTGATACGATATTGTACCTAAAGGTAGGTAGATTTATTGCTCTGAACCCTACCTCTCGCTGATTCGGAATGAATTTTTTATACAGCGCAGCAGACTTTACGTGTGATGTCTAGCATTTTTATCTATTCAACATGAAGCATAGTTAATAAGCAATGAACTTGCTGTGACGTCATATTATATTTACTTCTATTCCGAAACAGCTGAAGGTGGGTCGACCTAAAATAGTAGGTATCTAAAGTGATCTGGATATGTTTCGTTCGATCACGAAGCATTACTAACACGAAAACGTAAGTCTAAATGCCACTTTGATATATATTTAATATTGTCATTGTTTTATTTTATTAGTATTAAGGTATAATACATTACAATTACGCTAGACGAAAAGTAGAAAAGACAACTTAGCATTTATTAAAAGAGCATCTCGCATTAGCGTTTTATAAAAAAGAATGAACGATATGTTAACCTAAATTTGATCTAGGCTAGTTTATTAATATTTTCCTATACATAACATTAGATAGACATGTTTTAATGTATAATACATACAACTCTTACTAACAATTGTCAAATTCGTTTTATATAAACAAGAAATAAATTCTGATAAAAACATATGAATCATTGTTAAATGTTTACAATTTGTGTATACGATAGATGGATTCAATATAAATAAATGGTTAGTGATTTTATAGATTACCGTTTAATAACTGAATACAGTTAAGCGAATCATAAAAAAATCTAGTCTAATTTATTTACATATTTTACATAATGACCTGCCTGAATAAGTCTCATTTAATTGCAAATTAAGATGGCAATTATAATACGACGATTAGTTCCGTATAGTAATTATAAGTGTTCTTAATTAATTTATATAAATAAAAAAAATACTTAAAAATGTAGTTAGTAAATTTCGCATATAAATAAAAGTAATATTAAATTTATCCAATAAATCATAAAATTAAAACAATATTTCAATCATTAAATATTATTTTATTTACAATTATTTATTTAGAGTACGAATCGTTCATTATGCTTATTAAGATTTGTCGTTATAATGTTTTGAATAAATATGACGATCATGATGTGCGATGCTACATCAATACACGTGTCCAAGTTTCCCTCTATGATAAGTATTCAATTAATTTTTAGCACAACTGCCAGTTATAGAATCTGATGATATTAATATTACTAATACTTTAAGCACAAAAATTGAGTTTGCCAAAAAGAAATTGGCGGACAGACTAAATGATGGACGGAAAATAAAGTATCGTAATAAGGGTTCCGCCTTGACATATTTATACAGAACCCTAGAAAATTTTAGGCATAATCATAATAATAGAAAAAGTAATGAGATAAAAATTAATAATCACACAATGCAATATAAACATATTACAAGATGGGAATAACAACAATATTTCATCACTTCATTTCAATACAGTTAAAGTACTATGTTTAAACAAAATCATCATATATGTTATCTTCGTAAGAAAGCATAAACTTTTTTCTATAACATTATAAACTTTGTAGTGATCTGATAAACATTTTGTCATAAAAACTTGTGCTGCGCGCATACCTTCATTCCAAAAAGAAGGGAGAAGGTTACTGGAGTATTTTTCTGTTTTTAGTACATTCATATTTTTTTCTAAAAGTTCCGCAGGGTGTTCGCACCTCGACTCGGTTTTATTTAATTAAATAAAAAAATATAAATCACGTATAAAAAGTAATAATTAAACTTTTTATATTATTTTAATATAATGGTATCACATTACATATAACGAACTCTTTTAACCCCAAAGAGCTACCTATTGTAATATAATTTAGAAAGCCTATTATTTTTCTATAGCGCGTGAGCTGTAACACCTACATGATTTATATAATATTCTCATTATGAATTTTTATAATAAAAATAACATAATTATAGTTGTAATAGTAACCGTGAAGATATTAAATAATATAATTAAGATAGATTAATACAATGGAGGGATCAGAATGTCAGACTGACAAGACGTCAAACTCATCAATCTAATAGAATTAAACTTATTATAATTGCTGAGATAACACTATGTTACAACTAAATAGACTGTATTTACATTACTATGGCACTGGCAATAACACAAAATAAGTTAAATTAAGCGCTTTAAACGTAATAAGGAATGCAATGAATGAAATAAGAAAAATAAAAATGATTCTCACTTTATGCCCAGACGTTGCATTTCAGGAAATTAAATTCATAAAACAAGACGCCCCTAGTAATCATATCATTATTGGAATGTTAATATTAAAGCCCATCAACGCTGAATTGATAAAACTTACGATTACACTCCCATTTTCGGCCATTTTCGATAAGATTTCTCTATATTATAGACTAATCTACAATCTAAATATAATATTTTCTGCTAGTAACAACAAAATATCAAGAGTCTTTTATTATTATTCAGTACTTTCGCACATACATACTTTCATTTTTATACCTCTGATGTGTAATCCGAGCACCGATTTTATCATAATAATATCTTTTATACAGTAATAATATTAAAACAGAACGCGTTATATTTCATTTATGTATTTGTTGAGAAATATTGGCGATGGCGATGAATACCCACCTTAAGTCGCCTTATTAAATCAGTAAATGCGCCTTTACACCTAAACCTATCACGTAATATAGTATGGCAACATATTCTTTTGGTTAATACATAAATACCTCTTTTTTAAGCATTTATCCCTTTAAGGGACATTTAATAAAATATCGCATAAATCAGAAGTACGGAACAGATATGTATCGGTAGGTACATTAACAGGTACTTTTAAAAAAACACTATTAAACACAAAATCTATAATATAATACTTTTCATATCTCACAGTCCTTTGTATTAAATTCTTCAGAATTGACACTTTGCGATTCAGATTTAAGGTTGTAATACATTATTCGGTTCGTCAAACGATTGCCCTATACGATTCTCGTTTGATTGCCGCATTTAGTTGCTCCAACCCGACTTTATCGAAATTGCGCCAATCTGAACGAGAGTCGCATTAGAGTATACTGACTGTCTGTGACCAGGCTTATACAATCTACACACTAAACTCATGAGCAATATTGGAGCGATACTCTGGAGCGTCTTGAATCGCTCCCTAGATCGCCTCACGAGATTGGCGTCGATTTTTCACAGAGTGTCTGCCGAGTGTGATTTATCCTCATAGCCACTGCTCCGATATTACCCGTCATTTTAGTGATGTGTTGTAGAATCACATTTGATTGTTGTTTATTAGCGTTTGTCAGTCGCAATGTCGAATCGTAGTTGTAGGTCGTATAGGTGTAGTGAGATCGATGTGTCGGCCGTTCGCTTTTATGCTTGCGACGCAGCCACGCAAGCCAGTGTAAAGCGCCGCGGGCAAGCCAAGTGGTAGCGTTGGCGATCCCCCTGTGTATAAAGAAACTGTCAGAATTTGATATAGCTACGCGATGATATGTCACTTGGATGAGAGTAATATATCATATTATTAATTACTAACAAGCTGGCCTATGTCTATACACGTATCCACAAATATTAATAAAAAGATGTATTTGTGAAATTTAGAGCCGATATGGATCTCAAAAACTGAGTTCAAATCAGTACTTCCACATAGTGTTCCCTGGAAACCATTATGGTTAACTCCTGGAATATGTTACGGTGGTCTACCTAACCCAACTTCAAACTCATCCTATCATCCTTCATTGGTGCCCAGCCAGCGTAAACTGTAATATGTTAGACCTCCTTAAAATCCAATAATTACCTGATTGAATTGAAAACATTCAAACATGTCAAACATGCACAACTTTCAGCAAATTTTCAGTGTTATTATATTAGTATAGGATTTTATTGTGCCTCTAGGTATTTCCACGACACGTAGTTTGTTATCGTAATTGTATTGTGTGATACATAAAATAAATATTTTTATAAATACACAATGTTTTAAATTATTATAGGAAGTTACAATAAAATGCAATAAGGAAGTTGCTCGCGAGCTCTATACAACAAATTGAATATTATTTTTATATGAAAATAGCTGAAACTTTTAAACGATTTCAATTGAAAATTGTGTCTTGGGATACAATTTGTTACCTATTCGTTGAATTCACGAGTTGCTGAGTTATTATGAATGTTTGCAAGTATACTTCCACTTAGAATTTATAAGTTTTATGAGACGCTGAAAACCGTTTCGAGAAGTACGCAGTGATAGAGATAATAAAAATATTGCTTACATTTTAAAATTTTATACAAATACAAATGTAACATAAATAATAGCAGTACCTACTAATTAAGTTTATATATTATTATATAAATTAGAATATGAAATAACAAAAGTGGATATCTATGTTTAGTATTAATTAGTATAAAATAATATTTCACTAACATTTTAAATAGAAGACGTAATTAATATTATGGTGCTAATGAAGACGAAAATCTACAATTACTAAATTACACACAACTACAATACATTAAAAAGCGATACTGTTAAATCTGTGAATAAAGATTAAAAATGATATCAAAAAATAATTAAAATAAGTACATAAATGTTTATATCGTTGCAAAATACCGATCATTAACCAAATATCACGAAACGTCAACTACTTGATCTAAGGAATTCCGTGTTATTAATATCGCATAAGGAATTTTACTACTAAATACCATTGAAGTAAAAATACGAGATATTTTAAAATATGAAAATATACTGAAAACTTGCGGCAAAGAATTTCACATAAGTGAAGCAATGCAAGCAAATAGTTATCTACTAATTCATAATAATAAATATAAACTGTGGTTTTATGGAAAGGATTTCAATCAAAGTTATTAAGGTAAATTGTACTAGGAAGATATATACAGATTATCTTTTATTCCAAAAAACAACATGGAAGGCAACAGAAATTTTAATGCAGATCAAGTCGCAGATATTAATACGTAAAATTAAACTTACCAATCCATAACTTAGGGTTCGATTTCGAAGGTACCAGCAGCGACTGCGAGTACCCTCTGACAGGCGGCAATTCGTCCACTTGCAGCATTGCAAGCCTTTTCCGTCTTCTCACTGTAACGGTATGCCACATACCATCATCCACTCGGGTCTTTGACTCTATACACTGGAACCAATCGTCTTGCGTGGCAAAGTTCATTTCCTTCACATCCGTATCCGTATATATGAGCTGCAGTTTACCCTCGCTCAAACCTACACCGATGAAGTCGCGAGGTCGTATACCAATTTTCCGTCTCCACATGAGGAGACCGGAATCATTGTAAGTTCGAAATTTAATTTCATATCTAACGCCGCGGCCGCCACGTATCCTAAAATCGAATTATACATATATTTATTTGTTTCATATATTTATAAGGTTTTTTGAAATCTACAAGCGAGAAAGTCGGGCACATTGAATTATAATATTCCGCATAAAAAATATATTAATTAATTTATGTGCACATTACAAATGAGAAATTTGACATGCACTTAATGCATTAAATAACTGCATGCATTGTATAGTATATAATAGTTTAATAACATATTTGTCTTATTTGGATATTTCTAACGTTTAACTAAAACTTTCTTATCTAAATAATTAATCATTCGTATATATAAAAGTAAAAAGCAAAAAGCATGTTCCAATCTTACACATATATTTCGTAGTCAAAATTAGCAGCACCAAGCCCATTCTTAGAAATACAATCACCGTAGCATTTTCTGTAGCATGCACTCGACAAAAATGTATTGATAACAACCCTTTTTCCTATCATTTAACTCGGATCCTTATTAACGTACTAAATAGTTATAATAACCGATTGCATAGTTAAGCAAACAATTTATTCTATGCTATATCACAATTACAATAAAATCCTGCATTTTAAAAGCGTAGTAAAAACGTTGTTGATTAATTAATTGTTAACAAACAATACACTATCTGATAACTCTCTTGCATCATTGAGCATGACTTTATATACACTAAAAATGTTTTTTTTATTAAATTTATTTAAATACATGACATCAGAAATCCCATTGTGGATTAACATCAAGTGACACCTTATCACTCATGCATTATCATTCCACAGATATTTATGAAAAATAAAAAGACGAGTCTGCCTACTTGTTTGTTACACATTTTCTCGTGAAAACTGATATTCATTTATTTTATTTTTAAAAAATATTCAGAAGATATTTATGAGGAAAAATTCTAGAAGTGTATTAAATCTGAGGTATAATTTAATTTACAAAAAAATAATAGACTATTATATATAAAATTGATCATATCAGTCACCTGTACTAATCACTTATGTTAAGTTAACGTATTTATGTAAATACATAGAACTTTAGCTCAACTTATACGATTTGGTCTGAATTTAGGTGCTTACTTATAAAGTCTCAACTACGCGAAGCAAACTAAATTGTGCTGTGTTTTGTATGCAAATAAGATAAAAAACATAACTAGTTTTGTGCGAAATATCAAGAAGCTTAAAGTGGTTTATTAATATTAATAATAGTAAGCTTACGTTGCATTACTAATTGCAAGTAACTATCTAAATAGTTTATATTCAGTAATGTAATAATAATAGTTATGCTCAAAATTACTAATGCAAGAAAATTATTCCATTACAAAGATATGCTTAGATTATTCGCATGTATACACTTTACCTAATTTTTTAATTTAAGAAATACCGAGGTAAACCTTACCAAGAATCTCTAAAGCAAGTTAACATATTGATAATCTGCTACTGCATTTAATTTAAAGCTAAACTATTCGCGACTACATAAATTTGTGAACAAAAAATAACGCAAGATGAGGAGTAGACCACAAAATTACAATAAACCATGAAAATAAGCATACAAAAGAATAACACCAAAAGAAATTAAGCTAATATTTTTGATACTACATACATGATTTGAATGTACTGTTAAATTATTTATAATGAAATTTGTTGAATTCAACTCTTCTAGTATTTTTTATATACTGCTATACTTTCGTATTCCGGTAATATAATACAATAGCTATGTACAGTAAATTACATTGTAAAAAATATGTACTTATCGAATATTGTACTATTCGTAATTTAAAATTCTGTCCGCTATGTCTAAATTACACATAAGTGGTACAATTTCATGACGCTATCAACTATTCATGGTCATGAAACAGTAAAGCAACCTAATGTTCCCTACGTTTACTACGAAACTACATGACAAAGAATAATATTGTAGATAATTACCTATACTAAGCATTTTAACGATTTAACGTATATTTTCTCTCATCCATCGTATGTTATCTTACATCATAATGGCCCTTACCAACATTTTTGTTAGTATGTATGCTAGAAACATATTAATTATGTTAGTAAATACTGAAATGTAATAAGTGAAAGTATTAATATCAAATGTGTAATAAAATCCTTCTCATCTTTTTACTGTTAAATTTAAATGTAAATAATATAACTGAGGATATAAAACTTATTCTTATGGCTATACAATACAGATGAGAATTAATATAGAACATAAAAATATATTTCCAAAGACATTCTTAGAAACAGAAAATATATATGTACGCAATAGATAAATACTTTTATTATCTTATTTACTCTGTAATATTAGGCTGTAAAGGTTTCATAAAAAAGAATTAAATATTAAAGCAAATATGTAAATAAAGTTTAAAATATTCCGTTTTTTGTATCTATGCATCAATACTTTTAATTACTTACTTTGTAGTAAAAAAAAGTTGTAATAACTATATTAACAGAAATAAATTATTTATGGAGAACAATAAAATATATGACTTGTGTATTGTTGTATTATTTATTAGTAATTACTGATAACAATAGTAATAGATGGTAATTTCGATCTATTAATATTCCCGAGTGCTTTCAACTTCATAATAATACAGTAAAACAATCATTAAACATATTAATAAATAGCTACCACAGAATGTAGCTGGCCCAGAACTGGGTTACCCGTCTTCTACCCGACTAGCTTTTAATTTGTCACTAAAACAATTAAGTCACGAATTACGAGTGGCACGAACCACTGAATCTACCTACTGACTGTTACGTATTAAAAGTTAATATTATATTTCAGGTTATAAATTATACTTTATATTTGTATGAACAGCGGTCAAATTAAAGCGGCCAAATTAATATGGATAGGGTAAAGCTAGATTAGTATATAAATCAAGCCGCTGCTGAACTTTGTGAATCTTTATTCATTGTCAGCGCTTAACGCTTCCAGGTCTATTTGTTTGTTCAATACTGAATACATTCAATATCTTTTTAATTCTGTGTCACTATATTATATCAAATGGGATGTTTATCTTCTTTACAAGTATCATTTTAAGATTTTTCAAAATATAACAATAGTTATAAGTATATTAAAACTGTAAATGCAGTAGGTCATATTTCATTACATTCCGAAAATACATATTAATAAAACATTAAAAAAAAATTATTTGTATTACATATTTCAGATAACAATATTAATGTTATAAATACGAAAGTATGTCTGTCCGTCTGAGTGTTTGCTTATTACCTTTTTATAGCTGAATGTCTCAATGGATTTTTATCTATCGTAGTGATAGGTTATATCACAAGGACTATGTAGGCTTTTATCTCAAAAGCAAATGAAGTCGCAGATAATGACTAATATAATATATTATAATAGATAAATTCAAAATTACTGTTGGTTTTATTATTAGTGACAAATTTTATACAAAATTGTTTTTACAGTAATGTAACCTTTACTCAGTAATATAGGAAGTTGAAACCGCTCGGAACGCATCGTATTATAAAATAATATTAAATTGGATTTGCAACAATTTGCACTAACTGGCACTTACCTTCGATTTCCTTTGCTCCTGTATGAATAGTAATTATTTCCGTCGAATATAATTGGCGTTCGGTCGTTGAGCATGGCCACGTTGAGCTGAATCTCACAGTTTCTACCTTCGTAGCCTTCTGGGCACACACATTTGTATTCGTTCAGAAGTGGAATGCAAGACCCATTGTTCTTGCATGGAGTTAAACCTAATAATGTACGAAATGTTCAATATAATATTACACGTAAAAGTAAATTATATTAACAAGCCAATTTTAAGAAAAGAACAGTAGATTTTCTTGAAATTAACTGAAAACCCATTAACTGAACGATAGGGTAACAACCAATTAAAAAAATACATCCAAAAGAGACAAAAATGGATTAAAAACAATGTCCAAACAATGACAAAACGATGTCCATCAATTAGATATTGCAAGTTAAAATTTCTAAAATAAGGGGTTGATGAAATTTTTATAATTATTGTTTAGTTAATTGTTGTTGTTGTGTAATTGTAATTAGTATTTAGTTTAACCGAATATACACGTGTTTATTAACAAATCTGTTGTCTGTTCTACAAATACCACAGTAGCCATATTCTTCTGAATTAAATATATATTTGAAATTACAATCTTCCACGTATATCAGCAACCAGTTATTTTTGATGAAAGCAAAAGGCAGCAGGACAGAAAACAGTAATATGTAATATATATAGCTAAACTAAACAACAACATTCATGCAAGTTTTATGGGTTGTAGTAATCTCTAGTGAACAATTACCATATGTTTTAATTACCTAATTACCAATTTTATTATAATTAATTACCATTATTACGCCAGCTTCTAATGATAATAAAAAATAATTGACGTAATAAAAATAATTAGAAAATAACTACTCCTTTATATTTAAAGAAAAGCAATTGCCATAATGTCTGGAAGGTTCTAAAAACACTTTAGACGATATTGCACCTTATGACAATAATAATCGCAGATCATAAAGGATCTAGTAAATGATTACATAGTGGAGATAGGTCAACGTACTCGTATTGTTTGGAACATTCGGCATTGAGCCGCTGATACAAAAAGCTAGTGACGCACGGCCGAATATAATTTTCGTCTCACAAATTGTCCCATGCGACAGTGATCAGAATACTTATTAAGTAATTATGATATATTAAACTAGGAATGTTTATTTTCATGTCCTGTACTCTTCTTTGACCAATTACATGTGAAAGTTACTTCTATATTAACGTAATAATAAATATAATAGATATTTAATAACATTATAAAAAAATGTCTACATGGGTAGCTCTATTTACTTTATTTAGCCTCTAGTAGCTTTCTTTATAAGCTGTATTACGGCCGAAATAAATTATATACGTGGTGGAAAGAGTCATGATGATAACTGATGCCCGTCATACGTCTCATGCGTTGTTATTCCTGAGTAACTATGTTCTTGTCTCTATAATCTGTAATTTCACTGCTTTATCTCAAACTTGACATCGGATCACTGCTGGCAACAATAAGTAAGTGAAATTACAGGATCAGGAGCACGATACCTTAGCCTTCCAGAATGGCAACGCATGAGAGGGTATCATAAGTTTCACTTGATGTGATATGATGAACGTAGTGTTCTTAATAAATATTGATGACCATTACTACTAAAAAGTCATTTAGCAAGATAATAGATGAGGTGGAAAGACGATATATAGTGGTATAGTACAACTGGACGTTGCGAGAGCTACTATTCTGTCGCAATATTTGCCGAATCTCCGTCAACCAACAAAATAATAAACTGAAAATATGTTACTCACTAATTTATGCAAATTAATGATATTTAGTGCGTGGGTAGCATATTTTGCAACACAATTAATATGTAAATAAATGTCACACGTCATTTTAAACAGAATATTATAATTTCCGCTGTTACTACAATTTCGCAGTGTTATTTAAGTTATGGTCGAAAATTATAAATTTCATTCCGGGCGTTAAAATAACACTCGGAAAATAAACCTCAAACCAAAGCAAGAATACGGTTTATTATATATAGTTAGTATTTATATTATTTAAAATTAACTAATTGTGCAACATAAGGACTACATTCTATGCTTTATATAAGATTGAAACTATAATAAAGTATTTAATAACTCCTTCAGAACGTATAACTTATCGTTATTAACAAACTGTGTTAGAATAACTACATATATCATTTTAATCTAAAACTTTTTAAAATTATTTATGACACTTTCTTTCCAACAAAACAAAATAACTTTATACACAAGGACATAAAGTACAACATCTAATATGTGTTCAATAGACATAACCCCTTATTTATAAAAACGTCGAATGTTTTATAACAAAAATTGTATATGTCTCTTACCATCGCCACAAGGAGGCCCGGTATATTTCGTAACACCGCTGGTGGCGCAAGGCAACTTATCTTCGTCCTGAATAATTGCACATTTCGCAGTCTCACCACTGTACAAGGACAATGGTATACCATTGACAAAGACCTGTTGCACTGCGCCTATGAAACTGCTCGTCACGCCTGACATTTTATGGGGCCGGATGTATGCCCTGGAAAAATGGGAGTGCGTGAGTACTGACAAATTGATGAACAATGACAATTTATGTATTGATCAGGTATCATTATTTCTTTAAATAAAAATATTACTGTGAACTTATTTGGCATTATATGTAATATAATGTATTGAGTTTATCCACTAAATTGTAACTGAAAATCACTGAATTGTCATTTTTTATATCTTTTATTCTTTCTAAATTAATTAAATTAAAAATTATATAACTTTTATTCATAGCTTCAGGGCTAGCTATTTTAAGAGCTGAAACTATGCTTATAATACCAAACTAAAACATAAATTGAAACCTGTTATGGTTTTAAAAAAAAAGAAAAACATAGTTTCTAGTTCTTGTCCTAATAAATAAAAATATTATTGTGAGATTGTTGACGTCAAATAACACTATAATTATTTTGTTCCAAGCCACTTAAGTTATGATTAATATAATTATTATAATTCATAAATTATATTTTCTTTATCACACAAAGTTCCTAATGTGACACAAATTGAATGTCTATTCTAAATATCCATTACAAAAAATGAAACAGGAACTACTAACTTTAATAGTTGTGTAGTTCGAATGACTATAATTTGTAAGTTGTAATAACTGGTATGACAAATGGACCTTAAAGATAGAATAATATTCTATTGTTGTCGTGCACTACTTAAGCATTTATCACATAAACCATTCACGGTAATGTTATGTAGGGAAAAAAGGTTTCATTGTAAAAGTCAGAAACAAATTGTTACTACCGTTTATTATAATAAATATTTGAATCCACGACTTTGCCATATAATTTTTTGTTTGTAATTTTTAAGTGTAGCTTACTACACAACACACTTAAATTGTTTAATCCGTTTCTGAGATTACCACATATAAATTTTAATCAATTGTTGCGTTTTTTTTATTTTTAACCAATTATTATTAATGGAACTCCGATTACGTTGCTAAAGTCCCCCAATAGTAGTCTTTCTCATATATGTTCATTTACAAATAATGATTAGTTATATTTTTATTGTATGCATAGTTATAATAATATCAATATACACATCACAGCTCAGAATAATAGTCTCTCATTTTCAGGGAGATAAAGCTGTGGTATTTATTGGAATTTAACATGAAACAACTTTGACCGGGCTTCCGAAATTCGTAGAATATAGAGAATTCATCTCAAAATATATTATATTATGAGAACTTTATCCTTTCTAACGACTAGTACTATATATACTCTCCAAAATAGCGCTTCATGGACTTGATTATATTATAAATGTATTAGTTCAGCGAAACAGATATACATTATAAAAGTTGGCGGCTGTAGACACCTACTAGAAGAAGTCTAAAATAATCTATTGTAATAAATCCTGTTTTGTCGTCATAATTCCCTTTCCATTATTCCATTATTTGGCATCCGCGCAGTATGTCATCTTATTCCATCGGTCGATATTAACCATCATAAATGAAGAAACTCTCCTTTCATGCCTATCATCTATAACACATTCATCCACCTAAAGAAATCGTTTGTAAATTGTATACTGCGTGAATTGTAATAAAAGTCAACAATTTGCGAAAACGACATGAACGCGTGAATTAAAGAAGAGTTGTATAATAAGATATGGAAAATATGATTATCTTTGACTAAACTACATATAAAGAATCTACCATGAAGATATATAGAAAAAAGCATCAACATATTAGTATATTGTTCATGACTCTAAATTAAGCTAAATACGAATAATTTGATGAATAGCATCGATCTATGTGTAAGCCTCATACCTAATCATATCTAAATATAGTCTCGGGCCAGAAAATGTATTTTGTATATCAAAGGTTAATTATCAACTTTAGATGACTACTTAATACAATTTATATAGAACATTACCTAAGTTAATTTGATATATATCAGAGTTAAGTTAGATATAACAATATATTATAATTAGAAAATATTTTCCAAATTTAATATAAACTCAAGAGAGGTAAATTAATACTTGTAATTGTTCTGTTAATAATAAAATTGCCCGCTCTTCTTTCTTAATTATATTTAAAATAATAATTATATTTCAGTTGTTACAAATCACTGGTTTTAAAGACACATCACTCACACATTGTCTGGTATTTATGTTATATAGTCCTAATAAATTGAAAAGCTTTTAAAAGATATATTTGAAATAATATTATGAACTTATATAGCTAGTAACTTAAATTTCATATTTTCGTTTGCACTAAAAAATATTGTGTAGATGCTGTGGCAATCACTAAGTAATGTGGTTAAAATATTTTGTTTTCGACCAATACCGTACGTATTTTTATTTATTGTTTATGAATTTATAGTCCATAATCCATAACATAAACAAAAAAGATGGTCTATACGACAAATTTGCATTAAATCAAAATAATTAAAATAATACTTACGGCAAAGATCCAATGAACAGTGGTAATGTGAGTTCCAAGTGCGTGAGTGGAGAAGGCGAATGTCCTTTCTGTGTAGGATAATGGTCCAGCTGTAGACTGCCATGGCGACCCGCGCGTGCAACCCGAGCACGGTGCCACCGGCCTTTGATTATTGGTACCGAGGAACTAGGGAAATTAATACAAATAGAAATAATCTTTATTCAAACAAGCTTAATGTAAGCACTATTGAGTAATCATTTTTTTTTTATGTAACACTTATTCGGAACGCACCTTTAACATAAGAAGAATGAGCATGAAAATTGCTTGTTACTATTTTAAATCGAAAACAATTTCTGACTATCTGTCCGATGATAGACATACCGATAATAAATCATAAAACAATCCGTGAGACTGTAGTAGAATTTAATATGATAAGTAAATAGTAAAAAATAAAAGAAGGAAATAAGAGTATGTAGTCAAATTGATTTCCACTGGAACAACAAAAATATCGTAAAGTTACATAGTCAATTAGTCAATTATATGCTTACAATTTATACATGAAAAATTAAATTGTAATAATTTAGAAATAATAGAGAGAAAATTCTAAATAGATATTTGTTTCATGAATAAAATATGCATTTTAATAAACATTTTTTCTCGAATAAAAGCGTTTACTTACGTGATATTAGCAATTCCGCTTCCCAAGTTGTACCTAAACTGTAGGTATCCATTGACTAAGTTAATCGCTATGAAATCCCCCTTGGCTTTATTAGACTGTCCGGTGTAGAGGAGCATCCCGGAGAAGCGATTCGTTAAAAACCAGATTTCGATGCGGAACGCCTTTCCTAACCCCTCGAGTGGTGGTAATTCGATGTAGCTCGTTCCGTTAAATTGAGGGGACCACGTCTCTTGTACTACGTTTACATCTGTAGGCAAATAAAAAGAATCAAATTAAGTGGGAGACCGAGGCAATTTTTCAAGACGGAAGTTAATCTTCGGGAGTCATTACTGAATAACGTAACGAAATTGAATTGGAATGAATGTAAATAAAAATATGCCACTAATTTGATGTAATTAATCACAAGTATAATAGAAAAGAGAGCGTTGTGGCGTAGTGGGTTACAATACCGACTTGAACGCAGAAGGTCGTAAGATCAAATCGGACTGACACAAAATTATTAAAAGTTTGTATTTCAAGTTATATTTCTGACTATCTCATCGACAAGAGAAACATCGAAAACAAACTGTAAAATAATCGGAATGGTGGCTGTAGGCTCGCTCACTGCCTCGATTGTTTAATATAGATATAATATGTTAAGTGTTGCTTCACCATAACTTCGTCTAACCCCTCTGACTACTCCATTTGGGTATTTGGTATGTTTTTTTAACAGAAATTGAAATGCATTCTTGAATGTAACATATTAAAAACTACAGACTAAAAATATATGCCCTCAATGGACTTCTGAAAAAATATTCTTAATATGAAAATATTATATAAAAAGAAAGTGTCTCACCATTATTACAAGTATTTCCGTTGGAACCAATTTCACCACCAAACAAACATCTACACACGTATCCGCCCTCTGATCCTATATCACACAATAGCCCCTCATCATATCCGCAGGGATTCGAGTCGCATGGATCTAATCTCTCGTCACAATTGCCTCCTTGAAATCCGATAGGGCAGATACAAGTGTATTCGGTCGCCGACCCATCCACTGAACTACACGTGGCGCCGTTCTTGCAAGGTATACTCATACACGGATTCGATTGACACTCCCTGACATTTTCTATAGAAACTACTAATGAGTCTGGACGGCCCAATTTCTTTGTCACTTGATGACGTATTATTCTCAAATACTTCACGCATCCAATAAATCCACTTCGAGTGCCAATATTATCGAAAACCCTGTACCAAGGTGTACATAATGATTTCTAAGGGATTTATTAATATGACAATGAAAGAAAAGTACTGGTTTATTTATAGATATGAAAGGAGCGAAATTACTTTTATTTTCACTATATAAGTAGCATATATGTCGTAAAAAATTATTAAATATTAAGATATAGTAAATTGAGAACAGAATATGTGTAACAAACATAAATAGAATATAAAAGTATTATGAAAAAATCTACTGTATAATAAGTATAAAAAAATTTATAATCACATTTTATTTTATAGTATATAGAATCCATGACTTTTGTAAATTTAGTCGAAATAAACAATTGTGTTCAATAATAAAAAAAATCTGTTAATAGTTCCTTTTATAGTAATAAGAACTAAAAGAATATTATTAAAGTAAATATGAATTAACTAAAATGCTTACGACTCCTAGTTATTACCTTGAATAATTAGTAGGTACGCTGCCAATGTAAGCATCTTCTGCTAGATCTAATGCTTTCAGATGTCCAGTAGACTGGCCTGCTACGTCTTCCATGTTATCGACGGACAAAATACCGTCACGGTGATATCGTTTCGCTGATACCTTATGGTACTCATTCAGTGTTATTTTTTCGAGAGATGTCAAAACTATTACTCCATTACCAAGATTGTACCTAAATAGAGTAAAAATAAATAAGTGGATAATTTAGAAATTCACATACAATAATTTTTAAATATTAATTAAACAAGAAAAAGACCAGGAAAAATTAAAAGATCGAAAATTGATATACTCTTATGTATATAAAAAAGGAGCCAGGTCAAGTATGACGGCTGATAATAAAGAAGAATACAAAAATATAAATAAATTAATGTTTATACATTTATATTAGAAGACACTATGTAAGAAATAATAAAGTTAATATACAGATTAAAATAGAATTTGATAAGAATCTCATAATGTTGAAGGAAGGTAAGTAATATATTCATGGAAATGTTCCAGATCACATTACTGTGCCAAACCTTCATTATCAAAATGTAAAGAAACCATTTATAGAACTGCTTACCTAAATTCCAAATAGCCGTTGACCAGAGCAAGAGACACAAAATCGCCCGTACCATCAGACTTCTGTTGATTATACAATATGATTCCATTCTCTGAGAATGCTTTGAATTCTATATCGATGTTCAATTTGTGGTAAGCCTTCAAAGGTTTCAAACGTATGTACGATGAACCATCAAAGAATGGAGTTTCAATGTATGACCCTAATAACCCATCTTTTGTGAGAGATTCGCAATTCAGTCCTGTGTATGGTCCAGTGCATACACATGTGTATGTAGAGCCTGGTAAATCGATGCACGTGCCGAGATTGTAACAAGGCTCCGATAAACATGCACTATATTCCTCTGTAGTGTCTTGCGTTATTTGCTCTGTCAAAAATATATTAGTTATGACTTATAATAATACCAACAAAGTTTAACAAGCTTTGGAAATCATAGATATATAAATTATCTTATTATAAAGATATTGTACAACACAACATCGTACGGTATGAAGATTTCAACCTCTTTTTCCTACCAAGATAATGTGTTCAGTTACGTTTTCTCTAAAACTAATAAGGTTTTACGCTAACACAATTTGAAAAGTAACGTAGAATATCATTTATAAAACTGAGATACTAAAATCATTACAGAATTCTATTGAAAAGTAAAATAAATAATTTAACTAACATGTAATTAAAACAATATTTCAACTTACCCACACAAGCCTTTCTGTGTACAGTGGGCGCATACCCAGGTCTGCAGACACATCCACCGTGCGCGCACTGTGCTCCAGGCAACGCAGCACAATCATCATCATCTGCGCACAAATCACCAAGCAACGCGCCTACGGCGCCGACAGTAGCAGTCGTTGCCGTTTGGGAACCTATTCATATCAGTTATATTAACTACATGCTATTATTTTAATATCTATATATGATTATGTAATATTATGTTATCTGTGATATGACGAAGAAGTAAATCAGCTAACGAGTCCCTTTTTTTAATCTATTCTAATGCTAATGACCGTAGTTGGCCTTTATAGCTTCACTGGCAAAATTAACCCTGTTAAAATGTCATAGGTAATGGATCTTAGGGCATTTAATACGTAAACATTTAATTCTTCTATTAACATGTAGAAGATCAGTAGCAAATGATTCTATTAGTAAATCAATCAATGCTATATTAAGTATATTGTACTATACGCCGTTAAAGTATACCGCGCATGACATACATACCTACTAATAATTATAACATAGGACATTCACTAAAGGTCATATATATAACAAAAAAAGGAAGTTTACTCAATAATCTTATTAAGAAAATCTGAAATGTCGCTTGTAACATCTTATAGTTTATCAAGAATAGTAGCTAAAGTATAGAAAATAATGAGGTATCATATCTCATTCTGAAATACCTTACTTGGAAACTTCAGAATAGACACACTTTATATGTCTCTTATGTGAACTCTTTCCTTTTTTGAAACTTTGTTGCTAAAATCTTATTTTATTTCAATGATGTAGTAAAAAATTAATGTCTTAAAAATGGGATTTTCTAATTTAAACTTGGTTCTTTTTCGAACTTGTTTTTTTAAAAATGAAGTTCTTTTGACATTTCACCACTCAAGTGTTAAATTATGGAACGCTTTAAAAATATTTATGTAAGTATCTACATAAATCTCATTTTAATGTATATAGATAACGTCTATTGAATAAACATGATACGTGACGATCATGCAATTACGCGACAACCAATCGATGTCGAAAACTTTTGGTGATTTATGTTACAAACTTTCTTTGGTGCTTATAACTTTAGGATGGCTCCCGGAGAAAGACAAAAGTTTTCTTAATAACGTTAATTTGTATCATGTTAATTATAATTACTCATAAACGGAATTGATGCTTATTTATATTTAACAATGCGAAAAGAAAGGGATTTGTTATTTAAAATACAGATATTTCACAATCGAAGCGATGCATAAAATGTAAACTTAACGATTCAATATTGACACGTCGATTCTGTAGGATGAAAGAGCAAATAGTTCGCTCACCCGGTCTACATATAATTTATTTGCATACAAATAGTGAATATATGTTTTTATATCAGTTAATTTTAGTAAGATTAAATCTTCAACTAGTTATTATGTAAATTTAGTAGACAGGCAAGTATTTTTTTAAATTATATATAAATATTTGACATAAAATTCGAGTATACAAAGCTCAAAATAGTGTGATATTATGAGTTTGTCAAATACATACTAATATGACGAATGCGATATTATGTCTATCTATCTAGGCAATAAAAGGTGCAGGCGAAATCAGAGGTATCTGTCACTGTATATATAGACGATTGTATATATTGACCGATTGCATCACCAATTATATAAAAAATATTTTATGTGACAATATAACACTCTAATATAAAAAAAATATGACTATTCAAAAGTATTAGGTTTATTTGATTAAAGATTATTTCTATTTCTATAATATAGCAATTTCCGAATAACTGGTAAATAAAACAGGAAATAACTGTTTGGTGCTAGTACAGTTATAATGGTTCAGTCAATAGTACTAAAAATTTGCAATTGTTACCTAGCGGTAGCTAATATTCGGCATTTTGATTTCCATTTTTAGTCACCCACTCTAGCCTAAAATAAGTAAGAAAATACATCTTATTAGACTCCTCAGACGTCAGCTTCCCGGCTTTAAAGGACAATCTATTTTAGGCAATCTCTATAGTAATAATAAATATTTTTAGTGAATACGTAATGACGTGTATACTCGTAAAAATATAATAAAAATATATTTTATTCAAATAAACTTAGTATAAGCACCTCTGTATAGTCAATTTTTATGACATAGAATGCAGACCCAGCCGAGAAAATAAAATCTGTTGAAGTTCTTTTTTTTTTTTCGTAAGTGGTAATCGTTGCTAATATATGTACATGAATACCACTTATGCGTTGCCATAGCCATAGTGCCAAAGAACTAAGACCTAAACTAAGAAGAAATGATACCTCTTATCCTGTAATTTCACAGTTCAACCTCAATCATTCAAATCTCACTTTTCAACCGAACATAGCTTACAAAGCAAGCTTGCGGCTAAAATATGTAGACAGAAGTACCCACGCAGACAACATTTTAGAATACGGTTTTGTAATATTATATAAATTTACATATCTAAGATTATATAGCTTTTTGAACACTTACCCTTAAATTTCTGCCCAGACATCACACTATCAAAGTCACTCGGCGTTTCTTTCCTGGTCCAATCATATTTGTTGTAATATTTGTCAGGGTTCAATAAATGCCTCGTCGATTTGGACGCTGCCCCATCATCTTGCTGGGTGAATTGTATTGGAGACGATGGCCTCGGGGGACCGGCAGTACCAGCTATTTCGCTCAGCTTACAAGGCCCGAAAGCTTGCACTACTATATCTATATCTTCATAAGTTTTACTGTCGCTACCGCAAACCTGTTGGTTTTCTTGTATTTTACCACTATTGCTTTCTAAACACTTGAGTTTTATTAATATTAGTTATATCATACAGTATATTTATGCAAGAAAAAACGATAACAAAGTATTTACCTACGTAAAAACTTTGTTAACATTTTTTCTTGCATAAATATTTTGTAAACTGTAATTATTTTTAAATACACATTTACAATTTATCAATAGTCTAACATTTATTAATTAAAATGTTTACAGTCAACCCTCCTATAACGTTGGTTTTCTTGTATTTAACCGTACAAACCACTAATTCGTAGCGCGTTCTAAACACCGCGTTGTATGGAAACCGCGCTTTTATTAATATAAGTACAAATCACATCATTCGTACCGCGTTATATGGAGACCAATAAAAACAAAAGACAAGATAAAAATAAGGAAATGATGAAAAAAATGAAACAAAAACTAAACTAAAAAACTGTTTTCCAACAAAAACAAAAGAAAGACTTTTGTAAAATGATGTAATCTTTCAACACTCATCCTCACTGTCAGATATGAGTCGCCTAACTCGCCTTCTTTTAATGGGCAAAATGTCTTCCTCACTTGGTTGATCTTCACATTGGTTTTAAGTTAAGCATTTTTTCTATAGTTCACGCGACAATGTAGTCAAAAGATCGCATATATATCTTTCATGTTACAGTTTCGTTAGACACACACACGCATAATTATTTTTGGAAGATAGCGCATGAGGAGAACCACCCACCCGTGACCATTATAAACAATCCAGTTATCAATATGGGACGTTGTTGAACGGAAACCGCGCTAACATTTATTAATTAAAATGTTTATATATAAAAGCCATCGTGCCTCATTTACAAATAAAACCTACATAAAATTTGGACTACCATATAAAAAATCACCGTAATATTAATATAACTTTCGTTGAAAATACTTTCGAAATTAATACTACTAATACTTAAAAAAATCAATTATGATATATAACTCTTTATTAGACACAGATAAGATACACTAAATAAAACTATCAGTTAGGGTGGTAAAAGACGATCTCATTACTATATGAAATCTCTTACGGATAAACCGGTAAGTAAGCGTATTATATGAAAATGAATGAACCAGTCCATAAAAATCCAATATTATAATCGCAATTTATACACCCTCCTTCACATCAAGTACGTACATTTTTGAAACCCATTTAATCTTGTTTACTCAATGTTACATTTCGTATAAAAATATCAATAAGCTACGTTTACCGAAGCTTAACAAGTGGACATAAATAGGGTCCAATTAAACGAAATTTACCTATAACGGGCAAGTAATACAAAATTGGAAGTAATTTTCTATAAAGTGTCTCGAGACATTATCGTGGAAGAAATCGTAAATAATTTTCTTTGATATATTTTCATATTCTGTTAGTAAAACGCCTTCTGTGTACCTACTTTTATATACCTAAGTAATGGATTGTTGTAGGAATATGAAAAGTAAATAAATATAGTTGTCAACATAATTGTTGTAATATAATTTTATAAGAAGGTAAGTAAAAGCTTAATATATATAGGTATATACGAATAATAATAATAACCCCGGTCAGTGCAAAAATTAAAATATTACTATTACGAAGAACAATTGAACTAATTGTCTGATCAAGAAAGACTGCGAAAAGTACACATTAAATTATTCAAATAATATCTAGGATACGATAAACATCTACTTGTGGTTCATAAAATTTCTAAATCTGTATCAACAGGATTTTCGAAACAACTTTTAAACATATCAAGTGCATTTGATATAAAACACGTAGCATATAACTTTATACAACATTACAACTTGAAACCACAAATGAAAATGGAGACATTACGTAATACTTACCAACATATTCGTATCGCTGTCAGGACAAGGCGCGGCGGCACACTCGCATAGAGCTCCACCGGTGCGTTCTGTGCACACAGCTCCGAAGTAACAGGACAGCTCCGCACATGATGCTACCACGCCGCCAGTTTCAGCTAACCAATGAAAACAAGTCATTATGTAGTTTATATTTTATGTAACCGGAATAGTAGACAAGCTTAAAAGTTATTTTATTGAAAGTTGTTGTATAATATATCCTATTTATATGTAATGATTATAATATTGTATAAGCGTTTCCTTCCTTGAGAACCAAGTTAATACTTCACTACTATATCTCACACATTACACCGAAACACATTCGACAAAGAAAGCTGCTTGGTGGCTGAAATAGGTGAGACATATGTATGTATGTGGTAGTGTATAGTGTAACTATATATAACATACGATCGTGTCTAAAAGTCTAGCACGATAAACCTACATTTTGGAACCAGAGCTGTTCCATTCAAATCATCTAATAAAATCTTTTTAATCTGGAAAACATCAAAGACATATTAAAATAGTCACTGTATATTTATTTCATATAAAATGTTATTTTCGTTGGTTTGGTTAACTAATTTCCAGTTACTGAAATAGCAATCACTAAGCTAATCGGGAGATTTTGAAATGGGTTCAAAACTTTGAGCATGGTAGTCTACTAAACCACACTCGTCGTAATTAAAGTAAAGGTCATGCGGAGGTTTAAGCCTCTAGGATGGGTCTGAGTGTTTGAAGGCTATGTTATATCAGAGAGACTAAATATGACGTATTTTATTATTTATACATAAAGACGAAGCAACAGATATTATTTCTGCACGGGAGCTAATGAGAATCTGAGTGGTCCTTACTTAACTATAGAATAGTTTCTTGTCTGTGACTAAATAGAAGGGATAATCATGGACCTAAGAGTGATTACGGAATTAGGTATACTACTTTATTTTATTTATTATATACCTTTACTTTATTTATTTATTAGAATTGATATATAGCACATTTTTACATACATATATTTTATATACGATATTCTTTTTAAACTGAAATAGGAAACAAGTAAACGTCCCACTTAATATATATAAGTGGCAACCGTTACTAATATACATCTATCGACTGATAGCACCATGGATATCGCGTCATTATGTAATACCGATGGTACCCCTCATTCGTTGCCATTTCATAGTACTCAAATCTCATACGTACATGTAATTGCTCTAGCATACCTCATATTATAACTGAAAGTAAGAAGCTTGGTGGCAAAAATATGTGAAAAAGGAAATCTGTTTCGCACAACTTTGTACAGAGCTTACCTCGGTGAGTTACTACACATCTGTATGTTTTTTTTTTCTATATATTAATAGAATGTAAAATAAATTAACAGGCTTTGATAACGTAACATTTAATACTAAGTATTCGTATTCAATACCAAGTAGTCACACAATAGTTTAATTTTACATTTGAATATAAAACATTGAAAAGAAGAATATATTTTTAATTGTAGACTTGCCCAATGCCTATATTTTCTCTAAATACACGAGCAATGTATACTCAAAAGATAAGTACCATTATTTTTTAAATAATAATAACTGCATTCACAGATATTATGAAACGATTATCTGGACATCAAAGTAAAACAAACGATCTAAACATTAATAAATAAACTATCCATGTCTATTACATTACACACATCGATGGATTTAACGGCAAGGAGGAATTCTTTCAAATAAACGTCTCTGTTTAAGGAAAAACTTGATATACATTTTGCATATACCAATACTCCAGAAATAGGAATGAGAGAATTTTTGCATTGAATAATTATTTTTTCATTAGAAATATGTTTATTTATACTTGTAAATTCAAAAGACATTTTATCATTTGCTTTGAAGGTAAAAGCTAAAGTAAAAAATATCCTGACAAAGTAATTGGTTGGATTTAAAACTGCCAGATAAAATTATTTATATTAATTAGGCTAACGGAGAATGGAAAACTATTTTTTCTACCTACGAGTAAAGGCGCTACAAGAATACCTATTAGCATATTACAATAGTAACACAGAGTCAATAATTTAAACAACATTTATATTATATTATTTTATATGTACACACGACTAAAGCTAGCGACTTAATGAATATTCTCTCACTTGTCAAGAAACATGTAGTACTAATTCTTACTTTGTTGGTACGCTTTGATGTAAACACATTTCCTCTCAGGTAGTTAATTCGAAACCACAAACTTTTACTTAAACAATCCTTATAGCCCCTCACATCCTTCTCATCTATACTAAATAAAGTTCTAAACTCCTAAAACTTTCCCAGTAAGAATTTCCCTTATATGCACATATAAAGCTTTCTCAAACCGTAGTACCTAAAAGGCCAAACCGCCGTACTACAAGCTTTATATAATTTATACGTATAATTAAGAAAAAATACGGGATTCTACGAAGATACATAGATTTTGTATGAACGTATAATCAGGTACATTTGTTTTCTGTTAATATTCAATAAATTCAAACTATTCTGCACATCCTAATAATATATTTTTAATTAACTTCTAAATGCAAAATGATGTTTATCAAATTATTTGTATACAAATGTATCAAGACCTAATTTAAAATATAAATCTTTGATATTGTCTTTATTATTTGTGCGATGTGAGGTATCAAAATCTAAAGATAAAATGAGGATTTAATTTAAGAAGTTAATAAAAAAGACAACACTAGATAAAAGGCGCTGCGAACGAATACGAATTCATACACGAAGGGAGAGGAGGGGTTGGTGTACGCTAATTGAACGAATGAATAAATTAAGGGTTTTGTAAAAGAATGAATCGTATTAATGAACAGCCAAACGAATCAATGAATTGCAAATGCATTCAATATCACTTTCTTAATTTGTGTTTTCTAAAAGAGGATATTTCTACTCTTAATGTAGTTTTCATTAATTCATTAATGACATTGTATCTAAACAAATTTTATCGATTATATTTTTTTAGTTTTAATACCATACAGGCCTTTCATATATTTGGGTTCCAAAGGTGTATAATATGGTACAAGCTAACTGTATTTATATTGATATTGTCTCTGAATTTTAAAAGTTTCACATGGTTTTTTTACCCCAATTCGTATATGAATCGTCTTATATCCTGAAATGCAGTTTAATTACATGAACACATAATACACTTACGGTCAGAACATCCATTGGGTCCCAATCTTCGGCGATGATCAGCGCATACAGTACATTTCTGTCCCTGAACACCATTTCTACAAACACAACGTCCTGTCATCTGTTCACAGTCTTCTCTCACAGATCCGAAGGCGGAACAGCCACATGCTAAAAATAAAAGTAGCATATAATACAAAGTTACGTCTTATTCTTTGAGGGGCCGAAAGTAAATGTAAAAATATTAAATAATAAATAATTTCTTTGTGATAAATTACCAGTGGTTGACTTTGTAAAAATCGTCTGCATGGGTAATTCCATCTCGCGTAGGGCACACTCAAGCTTGCTTTAAGCTATGTATCTATAAAGATGTGATTAGACAGTGAAACTACATGATTACATTATATCTTAATTCTCTGAAAAGGGCAACGCCTGATTGGTATCCCGGCTTTCCTATGGGAATGTTATGTCCACAGAGCTGTTCATGTACATATATAACGAGGGTTCCTGCTTACCAAGTGGATCGTTAGCTTGTTTATTTACAAATATTTTGTGCATTTGTTTATATCATTATTAGACAACGTACAATAAAAACACCAAAAAGGCGGATAGATTTCCTGCCTAATGTTGTTAGGCAATTTAAATTTACTTTAACGAATATTTTTAAAAGACTAGATTAGTTTCAACATAACTACCGTTGTGTCTCTACACTTATGAAATCACTTCGTAAGTAGGACATTCTTAATTCTATGATACATATACTGATGAACGCATATTGAAAATGTCTAATGCAACATGAAAATTTGCAAGCGTATTTCTTACATTTACTTGTATCTATCTATGAGGTAAGGATAATAAAAGATTTTGTTAGATAAATTTATTTAGTGTCAAATAGAAGTACTATATTTACTAAATTTATATAACTTCGTTTGCATAGAATAATATTATAACACACGAGAACAATTTTTTTTATCTGTAAACACTGCCGAAACCTATATAGACTAATAAAATACATTTTAATTCTAAATATTAAATTATTTTACTTAGACTGAAATACTTACGAATACATCCCGTATGTCCAGATCCAATTCGTGGCAGACCCCAGTAGCCAGGCTCGCAACGGTCACATTTCAACCCCCCAACACCAGGGCGACAAGCACATTGCCCGTTCTCATCGCACCGATCTGACACAGAACCAAGTCTGTTACACCCGCAAGTGGAGCTTGTAATTGGACAACCCTCTTCATTGGGACCGGTAGCTATTGTTGAACCGTCAGAACAACAACCGTATGTACTTTCAGAACAATGATGGGCTTTCTTCTCTTCTGTTTGCTTTGTATCATCTACGACAAAAAAGAAAAAAAATAGAATTATGTATATTAAATTTTAAATGAGATTTCTGAGATTTAAATGAGATAAATGAGAAATCTGATAAAAATAAAATGTATCAGATTTAAAATTATTTAATGTTACATTATAATATTTTTCCTTGAATACATATTGTATCTATAATCCACTTAACCATTCAAGAAATAATAGAGAGAAATAAGGAAAGGCAATGAATAAATCAAAATTATGTCAAACAGATTAAGGAATCATATCAACATTTAAATAGAATGGCTGAATCTAGTGAAAAAAGTATCACCGACAAGAGCACAGTTATTAAGGTTCTTAAATTACGAATAGAGAGAATAAAATACGATAAGAACGACAGATATATGTAATAATATTTCATATATATGTATCATTATTATTGAATATTCATCTCCAGCGATCTTACTTTCTTTATTTATATTGTGCCTTTTTTTCTTTTCTTCTATATATGTGATGTTATATCACATTATTATATAAGAAACCTAACATTAATTGTAAATAAGTAGCAAACTATTTTTTTTTAAGTATTTCAATACGGCATGAACAAAATGAGTAAAGTATTGTATCCATTATAGTAATATTATGTTATCTGTGATTATAGTAAGTATTTAAGTACGTATATATTATTGTTAGAGAAGCATATTAGTATTGACACTAAGTTAGGTAAATATCAAAAGTATACCTTATCCCATTACTGCCCTTAAACCGCTTTCTGTTTTTACCTAATGGTTAGCTGATAGAGAATATCATATGGTACTCGTATTAAAGTCGCTCATTGTACATATATTTTAAATAGTGCAATAAAGACTAAATAAATAAACTAGCTTGTATTTATTTATACTGCAGCCGAAGACAAGCTTATCTGTTTTAACGGTTAGGTTTATTTCGTCAGATATACCATGTATAACAAATAAATTTGAAAACTGTGTCTAACTGTAAATAGCGTGACTTTGGCCCATTATGTTCTTGTATCTTGATGTCATTTATCTTTAGTTCTTCATGAAAGTTCAATGTCTCCGTGAAAATAATATACGAAACTTTTAATATTTCATAGGTAGAATTCGGAATGATATATTATTTCATTTTAAGTATAACATCGATGATATTTATCTATACATGTATATCTCAATATTTTTAAGCAATAATATTGAAAAGTATTTAATATTTTGATTCTATATGTACGGTAAAAACTGTAAATGATAAAGGATATAAATAGATAAGTATATACCTACTTATTTTAAATAAAAATATATGTAGCTACGATTTGGTATTGCGGTATACTCACTTTTGGGGCAACACCTGGCTGCAGTCAAAGTAATATGGCAGTAACTGCCGACTGGACAATCTTGCCGATGGGGTCCGTTTCCACAGTCAATTTCCAAACCCGTTGTTGTATCCACCATTGCTTTATTGTTACCGCAAGGCCTTACTTCCATACCTGCGGTTTAAACGTTCCATTTCAGGGACCGCTCATTTCACATTTATTACTTTTAACTGTAAAACTTCACCGGCTAAACTACAATGTAAAATGTTAGTAAACATGCAAAGGACGACAAACCTTTACAAAGCTCCAATGGACGCAACCGGAGTTCAAGCTGCTTTTGGCATCCTTCTTTTCGCATGGCGCATAAACTTGAATACAGTCTAAAGTCAGAGGCGCAGACGGGGAAATATTCAATTTCGTGTGGACATTCAAAGAGGCAGGAACACCGAGGGTACCCGTCCCCGCCAATTTCACAGCTTGCGCCAAAGTCGCAACGAATATCGCGGCATGCCAATGGGTTCGCTGTACCGCCGAGTTCCGTCGCTCCCAATGAATCCGTCGACCCTTCCTCAGCCTCGGTAGTGGTCATCGCGGTCGTAGCTATCCACCCCCACCCAAATATTTGCGTGTTAGTCGAGCGATAAAGCGGAAAGTTAGTTAATTGATCAGGGATGGGTCGCTTTATTGGAATTACTGCTAACAACAGGGTTGATGACGGTCCAACGGTAAATATTTTGACTGGCACCCCAAAGTTTATAAAATATGGTGATAAAAACAGGTAGATATTTTGAAATTAATGCAAAAAGTTTTTTAGTAATTAAAAATTAGTAAATGCAGGATTAATTTAGTAAAATATTAATTAATAATAAGTATTTAAATTACAATACGTACTCATTGCGATAGGTGGAACAACTGCAAGTCGATCTTTACAATCTCCATAAAATATGACATGGAGTGATGCTGGAGGTGGTAATTTGCAGGCTGTCTTTTGGAGTTCACACTCATTGGGATATGTTTGCATGGTACTTCCACAAACTGGCTCACGAGCTGCTCCAGTACAATCAGTGGGACATACACACTCCCCAGCTGCGCAATGTGCTCCAAAGGTGCACTGCACCCCTTCACACAGTGCTGTTAGAAAATAAATAAAATGAAACTATGAATAACTTCACTATACTACACTTACTGCTAGAATATAGACCTAACAAGGTATATTTGTACATGGCTATCTATAAGTTGATTCATTAAATTATAGCGCATTGAATATTATAAAAAAACATAATAGTTCCCTTCTTTAAAATGTAGCATATTTAGTTTTCTTTAATGATTAATATGTTCAGAATATGTTTAAAATTATGAGTCAATACCCATAACTAAGAACACGTTAAAATTTCATTCTAATTCCTTCAAACATTTTTATACTAAAACATAACACTGATAGACAAGCATACCTTTTTCATTTAATCACGATTTTACAATTTTGTTATACTTAAAGAAAATGTACTTAATAAATGTTTTATAGATAAAACAAAAACGGATGTATTTTAATAATACGCCTACTCGTATAGATCCGATAGTTTATCGGATCTATACGAGTAGGATATATTAATAACGTGTACTAAACGCTAAAGTTTAGAAAGTAACTATATATTCACCTTTATAACAACTTGCCATAGTATTTCAGTGTGTAAATTTTCTCTAATAAATTATTGGAAATTTTATGAAAATGTACTCATTTCAAGTACTTTAATATAATAATATAATTGATTGAAACATACCTATGTTAAAAAGAAACAATTGTTTTAGTTTAACTTATGGAAATTAGTCGTTGTAAATATTATACAGTATATATTTATTTATTTATATACGTAAAAGTCCCGATTAAAAGGTTAAAGTACCTTTTAATCGGGGCTTTTACGTATATTCCAAAAAAAAAATATCGATATTTATTTACATTCTGTTACAATTCATTGTTTTTTTTATAGAAAACATAGCGAAGGTATGCAAAAATATTCATCATGTTTTATATGTATGTATATAGAACTTTGAGATTCATAATAAAGATGAGTATTGACGGAACGAGTCATCACGATTTATATCCCGTAGTTACTATACCCATATACTTATACCTCTACTTTGTCACATAGTCATAAATAACAATATAGGAGTTTTATTTCGTCTACGTTAGCAAGGTTACGACTTCGTAAGCACCCGACTAAAGTTTACCAAGAAACGAATGGCTGAACAGATAATGTCATTTTGTCCAACAATTGCGAGCTTCCCATACCACTTTCTCATTCCGCCGTCAGGGAAAATTAGGCTTCTCGGTCCCGCAATGAAGAACGAGGGAAGACACTCGTGCAAATTTAATAACGATTGTTTACCACCTCTCCGCGAAATGAAAGTCTTACAAAAGCGGTCGATTAATACGAAACGGGAAGCCGGAAACTCAAATAGCGGAAGTTATAATATTAAGTCATTTTAAACATGTATAAGTAATATTTGAAGATGGTGTGTATATTATACATATAGTATATCTGAGTATTAATCATGACAATTGTTACGTGTTAATTACGTTATATTTTTCTTTAAATACATGTTATTGACATTCGTAAATATTTATTATTTTATTTTTGACTGTCTTTTGACTTCGCATGACTTCAACCGATTTGTTAAATATATATTTATAATTGTATTTAACAAATATGGGCTTCAATTATTATATTCTTTTTATAAGATTTCCTGAAATTTTCGCGAAAATAAGAGAAAATATATTTGCGCGGAACATAGTCGTTTTAAAGAGCTACTTATTTTACTGCTATGCTCGACTACTTTTAAGAATGATTTCATACGTTGTTCTCTTAAGTTAAACAATGTTTTAATTCTCATAACGACCTTATTATAGTCCAGTGTGATTTACTTACAATAACTTAATCAAACTTTTTTATACCAGTAATCACATAAAACAACTTCTAATTTTTAGAGAAATTTTACTTATTTAAGTACATACTGTTTAAAATTTGTAACTATTATAAATAGAACTTATTATTTATATTAATTAATTATTAGTTCTATTTGCTAATAATATACCGTTTAAAAAATCTATATAAACTTTATAAGACTTAACAAAAAGAATCATATCTACAGTATAATGAAAATATTAAATCTATATTGTTAAACAGCAAAAAAATTCAATACGAAGGAACAGTAAAGTTTCTTGCTTAATTAGTACAAAGAAATTTAATTAATTATGAAGACGGCCAATTGGGAAGTTTGAGCAAAGCAGTCCTCTACAAATTGGTAGCAACTGTAAAAGAGCGAATAAATATTCGATAACCGTAATATTCATCAATATTACCTAATTATACACCTTATGTTTTAATTCTGGTTATGTAGAATAATAAAATGAGATATAACATTGATTATGAGGATAAAATATAGTGAAAATAATAACAAAAGACTCTGCATATAAATAAAATTAAGATGCATTCAAAATAATGTATTATAGATATTACTACGCATAAAGTTACGTTTGTAATTGCATGTTCTTAATAGATCGTTATAATAATATAGCTAATAGATATCCCTGGACTAAGCTATATCTTTTTGCTAATTTAATTTAGATTTTAATTAAAATTATTACGCGAGCATCATCCCATCACAAAAACAATTCTGATCTTTTATCCATCAATTCAAGCATATCATACATTTCTTTCCTGAAACTTTCTTATGTAATAACCTCATATTCATCATTCTTCTTCTCAAGAATTACAATTATTTTTTCTTTGATGAATATAATCTAATATTATTAATATAAAAGTTATTGATAGTTTCATAAATTTATACCGTAAAATTTTATTACTTTGTACCAAGAAATGATCTTTGATGAAAATTGAAGCCCAAAACTATATATTACGTAAGCCAACTACAACGATTAACCACAAAGTAACCCTAAGATGCACATCACAAAGCCGATTAACTTAATCTGACTTTGTTTCGGATATACGCCAACTATGGAGCACTTTAATCCCCTATTGATCGGCAATCCTAAGCCAAATTCAAGTATACATAGATGAATATACTTAATAACTACTTAAGTACCATCAAATACAAAGTATTCATGAATCAAGACTGCTCTATACTTCACTATATAAAATGGCCAATCAATACTATAAGTGTGGAATTTAATGACGCAAATGGAAAACTATATGTAAAATATTATAAAAAATAAAAAATGATCTATATGCGAGAATCATGGTAGGCAAAGATATGCTAATTTTATTATATACATCAACTCCTTTTTAAGACGCATGTAAATGTGTAATATCTTCGTGGAATTACTATTTTAATCGAGGTTATCTTCAACTGAAGGTTAATTATGTATTTTTTATTTTAGAATAATGATCTATATCTATAATTATAATGATGATCTCAGGACAGGACACAGCGCAATCTATAAGGTAAGGTTAGTTAGCTAAAACTTCTTTTATATGGTACCAGATAACTGATACAAATACACTGAACACCTTTTTTCATATATACATATATAATATACAGAAAAACACTTCTAACAATAAAAAATATTTAAGAAGTAATATAATACTACATTTTTGATAGCAACCCTTCGGTCTCTCTATAATTTACTGTTGAATATACAAGTAGTCCATCCGCGTAATTACTTTAACAGATAACAGTCTTAAGTCCTTAATCACTATATAACATAATTATTTAAAAGTTTCACTTATTACAGAATGGATATACTTATTACACTATGACCCTTTTCCCCTTAACTATTATCCTTTTCCACTTACCGATGAAAATATAATACTTTCCCCATTAATTTTAATTGCATTTTAATTTATTATGAAGATTAAAATTGCTTACATCATAATCTTTTAGGTATAATAATCTGTTGATGAATTTTGTTTAAATTTAAAGGTAGAACCTTTTTCGCGGATTATCCCATATCTTCCAAATGCCCCATTTAAAGTATACTTCCACTTTTTACCTAAGTTGATACTGTTTATTAAAAAGTAATTGCAAGATTAATAATTTTATTATTAACCCTTCAATATTCACAGTATACATGAATCTCTATTGGTAATATTGAATTATTAACAGAACAGCACAGGAAAAACTTTCAAAAATTACAATTTCAACTATATGTGCCGATTTAATATTTTTGTTACCTTTATAATTAAGATATTCTTGTATCTTCAAATTTTCGGTTTTCGTCTATAGTAAACACCAAAAATAGAGTTTTATAATTTAAAGGATTTTTTTTCATTTATTTAAAATTAAAGACGACATTTTTTATAACTTTTCGAAGTGTCACTTATGAGTAGCATGTTACTAATGAATTATTTTTTGTGAATTTTTACGAGAAAACAAATTAATAACCCTGTAGAATTCTAGTCTTTTAAGAAATCAAAAAAATTAGGAATTAAGCTTTGTGTTAAGCATTTCTCGTTATTGTCTTGAAGTGACATGAAAGAGTTGCAAATAGTAGAAAAGTTTCTTGCTAGCTATTACATAAGATACTGCTTGCAAGATTATAAGATTTGGAATATGATAAATTTAAGTTAATATTTATGTACTTTTTACCTACTTTTCGCCCAAATCTGAATCCCCTACAGGATAAGCAGAGAAAGTATTCTTCTATCCTTACAAATCTTACTTATATATATTTTTAATAGGTAGAGTGATTCTAGAGGAAGGTTTATACAATATATAATACATGTATACCAGTACGAAGACGGGGTAGCTAGCTAGTTTAATATAATATTATATATATAATTAAAATATTAGTCATAAAATGACTTACCACAATCGCCCTTGTACGCAATCCGTAAGTCGCTCTGCTCACGACACGCTGTCGAGTCCAATTCACATTGGGAGGCGTATGTTTGACCATCAGTTCCGCATACTACATCCGACTCCTGTCATGGAAATAGACCGTTATATTACCGAGAAATAATCTGAGCAAATTTTGGGATGCTTCTGACCTCAATATTTGCAGATGAAATATTTGAATAATATGCATATTTCAAATACTGAGGGGCATCTCAATATTTGTGTCATGTATACATAGATATAACAACCTAAGTACACGGTATAACGGTAGATATACATAATTTTGTTTAATCATATATACAAAGAAATTTTTGCATTCAGCTAGTATGTGTGTATGGAAAAATATTATACTTAAATAAATCAATTATCTATTAGATAACTGCTTTACTTAGTTTGAAACTATTGATTGCACGCACTTTAATGTTATTAATTTAAAAAAATGCAAGTAAAATAATATAATATAAAGTAATATAATGTAAACCTAATTATTATATTGAATATAAAGGTTTCCATATTTTTTAATATTACCAACTGCCAATTATTATGCCAATTTGACGGGAATCGAGCTTATAAAATTGAAAGACTCAATTAACGATTGAAAGGATCATCAAACCGATATTACTTCAAAGCCAGTTATTATCCATTTTCTGAAATAAACCGGTCATAATCGACGCCTATCTTTCAAAATTGTGTATTGTTTGAGAGTTCGTGCTTGTGGATTGTTTTAAATCTGCTTAAATTGATTGATTTAAAGTTTTAATAATTATAAGGTTAGGAAGTTAAATGATGAACGAGAGTTATAAATAAAATAACTTGTTTTCTTGATGAGAAATAGAAAATTAAATTTAATAAAACACGGATCTGCTTGTGAAAAAGAAATACACCGGTAATTATATTCGTACGCATTTATATATTATTGTTTAGATTTGGTGGAAATATTATTTAAACAGAAATTATTTATATATTACTGCTATTTGGATTGTCTACAATATATAAATAATATATAAAGTTATATTATATATAATTCAATTAAATTTTGTTATTTTCCTATTTTTTAAAGTATAACTAATATAACTAAAAATACGCTATATTTAGTAAATATAGTGTATTCTTACACTTACAAATTTGAATATCGATATTTGGTATAGTATACCTGTGCTTCAGTGCAGTTATGATTGCAGCGACAGACCGGCCGTCCTGTTATTGGGTCCAAAGCGCAATCTCCACCGCCTTGGCATACAACATCTACACACGACTCTGTTTAATAAACATAATTATACATTAGCATCCTGCTAATATAACAAAAGCTAACTTTTGTTTCATTGAGGATATTGGTTACTCTATCACGCAAACACTACTCTCTTTTATAGGATTACCGCCACCCATAATCAGGGTACCACCAGGGCAATTACGGATAACTTGCCGGCATGGCAAAAAAAAGGCATGGGTATGGGAAGGAATTTAGAAAGGGATAGGAGGGACGAGGATGAGCAATACGGGGCGGATTGGGTTAATTTACAATAATATACTATATTTTACATTAACACATAATTTTGAATTTACACGGGCAATGCAATGGGGTACAGCTAGTCTCTAACGAAGATAGAGTATAATCTAATTTTGCGACTGCTTGCTCTGAGAGATACAATGATAATTGTCGAAATGATTCTGTTACTACCGTATTCTGTGGAACGTACCACCTTTATCAGAAATGTCGAGTGGAGTGCCATTGGTGTTATTGTCGATCTCAATTTGTAAAATATTTAATTTAATGGAATTCTAATAAATATTAATGGCATTCAAAATATTCCGAGTTATATAGAAAGCCAAATTAAATTATAACAATAACAAAGAACGAAAAGTGCAAATATTAAGCTAAGTCAATAAAACAATTTTGATGCTGACTTCTGAACAGTCTTCAGTAAGGTATTGTAAGAAATCTCTGAAGATATGATTGATCGCTAATTACATCGTCAAAGAAAAGGATCTTTTGACTGTTTTAATAAACTACGGCTAAAAGTCGACAACATCATCATAAAATATTGTTCAGCAATTAGTACTGTGCCAGTTTTGTATAATAAAATTAATCCATGCCCGGCCTTCATTAATCCACGTCAAGTTCAACTCTAATCATTTTAGCCATTTCACCTAATTGTCATTTCGTTTTAGGCGAAAAGAAATAGGGTAGAAATCCGAACAATGTTTAAAAATAATAATCACCACTGTATTTATACTTCTTTCACATTTATATAGACCTCGATAGATATTTATACAGAAATCAATTAATTTTTTTTTATTAAATTACAATTGGAAACATGATGATGGCCAACCTGACGGTAAGTAACCTATATAGGGCCATATCATGATGTAATTCCGGAGCAGTAATATGTATGATTGTATGTAATTACCCTCCAATATAAATATCAACTTATAAAGCAGGTTACTTAGTAGCTGAAATAAGGTAGAAAGTCTATCTGAGGTCTGCTAATATTATAAATACTCGAGTTTGTAAGGAAATATGTATGGGCTTCACGCAAAAACTACTGGACGAATTTGAATGATATTTTGATGCAAATAGAGATCGTATCCCAGATGAATAAAATCATATCCCACATTTAGATTTTCACCCAAATAGTACTCTGTACTAATATATACAATATTAGATATATATTTTTTGAGAAGACCGACAATGCCATTTAGTGAGTGAAATAGAATTTAGTCACATTCGATGTAGCGCCGGCAATAAATAGAACAGAAAAAGTACCGCTCAGATATCAGCGGATCTACGATTTTATTTTTCCAGATTTACCTATGAGTTCTCTCGTCAGTGAATTTTATTTAAATGCTTAATTGGATTTGAAAATATTTCGTATCTATTTGTAAAATATCTTCGACATTTCAAATATAAAACTGATACTATTTAGTTATAACATAAATATATAATGAAATAAATTATAAAGAGTTCTAATATTATAAAAAGGAAAGAATTTGTTTTTTTTTAATTAATAAAAACTAGATTTAGCCTATTTTTAAAAAAAGCAGACGAAGTCACTGGTGACAGCTAGTTAAGGAATAATTATACATGAAAAGATTCTACTCGCCTATTACCGACAATTTAAGAAAAGTAAAGATTTTTATCAGTGGAAATTGATAACAATTTTTGTTATTGAAGAATTTTATAATTTATTTTCTCCGCTACCTTGGCTACGCCTGAGACTTTCATTTATACCGCAAACGAAATATTTCTTTTATTTGGAATTTGGGGGAAGTTGAGGGGAAAATGTATCTATAAATATTAATGAATGCCTACCACGTATTTTTTATTATTTATTTTTCTGATTCAAAGACAAACCATTTGAAATATACAATTTGTGGTAGGTAAAATTTTTAGTAGATACTGCTTGTTTTTATAGAAGGAAGTTTTAATAAAATAAATTATGCGCTCATTTATAAATGTATCACTTCGTTTTTTAAAAATATAATAAAATATAGAATAGCTCCCATTTAAATATATAATAGATAAAAACCTATACACAACAAGAACTTAATGTCTAAGTATATATTTACGAATTTACTTCAATCACTAACAAACGTACATTAATAGTGCCTAGACAGTAGAAGAGTTTCACGGACTACTCTAAAATGTTGCATGCCAATTACATGAAAGTGTCAATTAAGTATAGTCAAGCAAGTTTTCACATCAATTATACGTATACCAGACTAGAAAATGTGATCGTGTGATGTATTGGGTTCGCTACAATGTCAACCGTTGATATTGTCATCACAGATTTTTCTGACTACTCCATCTGCGATAACAGACATAAAGGTATATTGTAATAATATAAATAAATTAACTACTCACGGCAAGTCCCATTGTACAGCACTCGTAGTTCGTCCTCTTTGATGCCTTCTTGGCACGCATGCATGCGCATTTTACATTCACTGCCATATGTGTTGTAGTCCGACGCGCAGATGGGTGCAAGAGTTGGCGCGCAAACCGGACATGCGCACTGCGCCGCGCCACCACGTGACACACACGCTCCGCCCCAAGGACATATAGCTCGCGCGCATGGATTTTCTAAACCTAAATAATTATATCGATATTAATAACGTTCAAAATGAATTTGGGGCTTTTTTAAATTTACATACGATATTATAAAATATTATATCATAATTATAATATTGAATTGAATTTATTTGATACATATTAGAGTAAAATAAATTGTTTAATTGATTAAACTTTTATTTGAATTGAATTTAACATAAGAATTTTTAACACATTTTTATTTTGGTCCTTACAAATATGTAGGTTAAGGATCAGTATTGTATTTTAAGATCGTATCGTATTACACTGGGGTAAGTCAATTAGGTATTTTATGTTATTCTATCAAAATGTGCGTAAAATGTGTGAATACTGATACGGTACCCACGTAAAGTTATGTGTCAACGATTTTGCATTTTTTCCTGTTTCCCTTCTTGTAACATTGCAGATCAAGAGGCAGGTAACATTTACATACTTAACAGTTTTATTTAAAATTTACTCACCACATGGCCCCACGTAAGCCACCCGTATATCTCGGTTCTCGAGGCATGAAGCCCTTTCTAGGAAGCAGGGACTGTCGTAGGTGTGATCATCAGAACCACACACTGGGCGTACGATTGCCTCACACTCTGGACCACATCCGCACACCGCTACACCTCGCGCATCCAAAGAACATTGCTCGCGAAGACCACATTTTACGGAATCACACGGGTGTTGAGCTAACATCAAAAAAACAATACGAATATTGTTATATAAGAATTTTTTTTTTTCCATATTCGTCCAGGAAACAGGAAAAGGTCCTTAGACCGAACAGGCTATGTTATTGTACATATATAATAAAATAATAGTATAGTTGTTATATTACATATATTTTTCATATTTGGCATAAAGCCAATCAAAGGTTGTAAACCATACTTTAAATAATAAATTATCAGATTTTTATCATTGATCGAGATAATTTTGTTAATATAACTTCAATCATCTAGCTTAATAATTAAATAAATACAAAACACAACGAAGTACTGCTAGATACTTTAAATATATTTTCCTGTCGTGATGGCATATATGAAAAAAAAAAACATAATCATGTTAGTCATATTTTAAAAAGTGATCTATAATGAACTAGCATATCAAAATAGCACAATACTAGCACTAGTATTGTGCTATTTTGATTGTTGTATCTCTATATTATAATAATAAATAAAGAGCAATATTGGAAGGTAACATTTTCATTAGTATCCACTTCATTAACGCAATTCGCTACGGTCAGCTCGTGATTACGGCTAGTGCAATCTAGTCGAAACAGTCAATAGGTAAATATTTTCTCTACTCCACAGGCTGATTCTTAATACATCTAACAACACCTAAAGAATCAGACAAGATTTTTACTGCTATATATAATCCGTAAATAACTAAGACCTAATTTAGATAAACACCTTAATTAACAACAGTACTAATGAAAACTAAACGTCCATATATGGATACTGAAACCCCTTTAAATATTAAATTTAACATTTTATTATTTCATCCTTGTTTCAATATCTTTTGGATCGACAAGACGCTCCAGTGCTCGTGTCCAATTACTTTCTTTAGAACAAAATGTCCCTTCAACATAGGCTTTAACAAAAGCCGGATCTTTGCATTTTCAAATAAAGATTTAATTTTAGATTAGGAGACAAGATATTGAGGTAACTATTTCTTGAGCCTCGCAAATTTTAATAAATTGTTTTTCGTTGCTATGTAATTAAGATTGATCACTATTGTTTATGTTTAAATACATAAAATTATGTATTTGTAAGAATCCGAGTCTTAAAAAGCATAAAGGGAATGTATTACAATAATAATAAAATAAAATAATATAACATCTCAGGACAATTCACAACGCGCTATCTAGGCCCAAGGTAAGCACAGCTTGTGTTATGGCTACTAGATACTGATACAAATACATAGTTTTTTTTTTATATTTACATAAATATATTATATAGAAAATACTCAGACCTATACAAACAATTAAGTTAATATAAAACTAGGGAACATGCTCATTGTATTTCAAATATGGAAATAACTACATACGTAGATCTAGGAATTACAAAGACACTGCTACTCCTTAAAATAAACAATAACCAATTAGAAATGTAAGGGGGAGGGATTTGTAAGTAATATGGACAAGTGGCCTCAATGCGTGTACTATGTCAGGGTTACTTCCACGCGTTCGCTCCTTGAAACCGTCTTGCCGAATTAACCAACGGTAAATTCCTTATGAATTCGGCACGATGAGCTGATTCTCATACTAATCATATTTTGACCGGTGACCTGATTATATAATAATTTATCAAAAATATACAAATAAAATACCTGATGCACATTCTCCTCTGTACACAATAGTAAGCTGTTGTCGTGTCCTACATGATTCGCGGCGCAGTGAGCATTCGCTTGGATAGTCCCTGTAGTCAGAACCGCAGACCGCTGACCCCGCTCGCACCACTAAGTCACAGGGGGGACCACATCGGCATACGGGCTGGCGAGCTTCAGTCAATTGGCATATCCCGCCGTCGACGCATTCGTGTTCAGAACATGGATCTAGAGATACATTATTATGTCTTTATATTTTACTAGTATTAGTATTTACTAAAGGGACACGTTTGTGAAGCTGGATGCTTTTTATGATAAAACAGTGTAAATATTGAAAGAAATGTTACCAAAGTTAAAATAATGTTATTAAATTTATGTCTTTCTATGCGTCTGTATGTTTGCTACTCTCAGAAATGGATTGACCAATTTGAATGTAGATTTTATAATTGTCTTGGTAAAAAACTGCCACTTAATAAAATCCAGTCTCAAACAAAGAAATATATTATTATCAATCTGTTATACTTAATGCCGCAAGTTCAAAGTCAGGAATAGCTTCTCATAAAAATATTTTGATTGTTTGTTAGATCTATGTAAATATTCATTACACTGAGAGATGCTGCATAAAGTTTTAACGCTGCTAACTGGGACGTGCTTTAAAAGTTTATAAACTGCTACTCATAACACAGAATATATAAGTACTTGGGGCCCACTGACGATAACTAGCTAAATTCCTATTTAGTTACCTACTTTTGTCTGTAATGAGTTATATCACAAATATATTATAATATAGTTTACTATTTATTACATTGTCTTTTATTTATTTCTGACCTGTTATTATCAGCGACTTGGTTTGTATATTGTTTCATGCACATTTCACTCTCTTCCAGATTATTTTTTTAGATAAAAGATAACTTAGATAAATGAAGATCAAATCTCGTAATACAGTTGGTCGTCATATCAATATCATTAATTTCCATACTATTTATTCGCAACAAACAGATAAAAACCTATAATATTAGTATGCATTGTGGTATAGAAATATCTATATTCATGAATAGATAGATAAAATTTACTTTATTTGCAATATACAATAAAGAAAAAATGTAATAAATAATGTTATATATTTACACATCTATATATAATTACAATAAGGCGGTTTAATTTCTGAAATTTTGCTTTTCAACGCAACCTTGGAGAAACGCATTAATTATCAAAAGGTAGGTACGTAAAACGTAGAAAATATGATAATAACAAATATATAATAATGAAGGAAAATATTAACTATAATAACTACAAATATATGTAAATAACAACAATAATATTTACAGTGCATACACTTGCATGAACTACATACATATATATTATTAAGTAATTATTTAATATTAAAATAAGATAAAAACTAAATATAAATTAAAGTTTCTTTCATACTTTTACTACCTACGGATTAGTTAGGATGATTTCTGATAGTTAAAACTTTAGGATCATTACGTGGCTTGAATAAATGGAAGATTTACATAAACCGGTAGCGATTTTTAAGGCACAGGTTATTTATTGAACTCAAGTATAAAATACGTCATACATTTTGAAGATCACTATTATTATTCATTGAAGAAATCACTGAATTCTCCAAATTTAATTTGTTGTGTTCTCTACTTCTTTATCAAATAAACAATGATTAAGCTTACCTTTTAAAAATTTTAGAGAACACAATTTACTAAAAACACAAAATTAAACTAGTATAGTGAACACAATTTCACAAAGGACATAGGAATGTGCCGGCAGTCGTACAAATTTAGTCCAGATCGAATGTTCTAGGGCAAGTTCTGTGAAAAGGGTTAACAGAATGTAGGTAGGTACGTAACAGATAAAGTAGAGAAGATTAAATTACTTTTATGAAAAAGAAACAGCGGATCCAATTTATGTTTTGTGCAAAGAAAACGTTCAAGTATTTTTGAAGGTCATATTAGTTTTATATATAGTAAATGGCTTCTATATTTCTTATATTATTGAGTATTTTATTTATATAACAAACAGCAGTACACTATTTACTTCTTGATACTATTGTTTTATAATGTAAAAATAAAAATATCTAAACATATTCAGTATATCCCTATGTGTATTTTATATAACATTATTGCGTGGAATCTAAAAAATATCGCCTTCATATCAATAGTACAATAAGAGGTATAGGTAATATCTACCTGTCAATTCATATAAAAGAGTAGATGTAATTTTCAGATTTTATTTATTTTGTCGTATATAACAACAAAAAAGATTATCAATGCGATCACAAATAATTCTAGGTAAATAATAAATATGATTCCACTCAAGTCAGTGCTAAGCGATATTTTTAGATAAGGTACTTGCTTGCAGTGTTATTAATACTATGTAATATTATATTATCTGTGTTAATACTATGAATACTATTACATGTTATTCGTTTTACAAAATGTATAAAATGATTGGTAGATGACAATGCTAAGGTTTTATTAAATAAAGGTAGGGGCGTCACCTTTCAACGCACGTTTCCCTTCGAATTCTGATTTTATTCCTGAACCGCCACGTCATCTTAACATGAAATGAAATGTTGACCCTTTTTGTGTACTCCATGTCTATTATAAAGGAGTGACCTGTTCTTAACGAGATCCTTTTATGCTGTCAAACATCAACACCAACAATACGAAATCATTTGTTTTAATTAATTGCCCTCATTAAAGTGCCCCGAGGGTTGTGGCCGACCGTCTCGAAAAATACTCTTAATTACTTAACCGTGTTTTATAAGTAATATTGGTAGAAATATTAAAGATGTAGGTTAGATATATTGTATAACGGTTTGAGCTTTTACTTATAGAATTTTCAAATATATTATAGACATCAGAGTTGATAAATTACTGATATCAAGTAATGCCATAGACAATCTGAGTTTATATTCAACTAACTGTGTCTGTGACTTAGTTAACGTGGAATAGTGACCTTGGATAGCATTTTTAATTATTTAGGCTAATTATTTTATAAATAAGACACATTCGTATAAATAATTTAAAAAGCTATTTGTAGCGTTTTAAATTCATAAAAATTTTATTTCCTCATTTTATTTTACCCCCTTAGGGTTATATGTAACTGTTGATTAAATAAAAATAAAATTGATATTCTAAGTTTATAAAAAACAAAGGTGTAAACTTTTCTAGTTGAAAAATGACGATATTTTCATACAACCTTTCATCTCCCCTTTCAACTGTTACAGCCATTTCTCGTAGGTATTAAACAATAGCCTATTTCCTTTCTCGGAATCTAGACTACTTATGTACCTCTTATGAGATGTAGGTGTGCAACTGATTACATACAAATCAAGCTACTTAACGGCATTTTTATTGTAATCAGAATTATCACTAACCTATTAATCATAACAGTTTAAGAATAAGATTATTGTTAATGATGTGATAGTAAGATTTAAAAAAAGATATACAAGACAGAAATAAATATAAGGCTAAATACGGACATAAAATTGAATTAAATGTATTATTAAAATACATAAACTCACCGCACTTTCCATGGTATTTGACAGTAATATTCAGTTGATTTTCGCAGGTATATTTCTCTAGATGGCATAATGATGGATATTCCTTTCCATCAGTACCACACACGGGCTTTCTTCTTTGGCAAGTCCTCAAGCAGCGGCACTCCGCCTGACCATTGGAAGCCACGCATCGACCACCAGGAGAACATGTCACGTTTAGGCATGGATCCCCGGCTGTTTTAACAAATGTAACTTATAAATATTACCATGCGTAATACCAATAAAAATGAGTACACATATTTTATACAAACAGGAAAGGCCAGACTCACTGACTTTTCAACATCCAGTCGAAACCTTTACATAAAAATCAGAAAAATAAGAAATATTATTTTGAACTTCTCTAAAGCGGTAAAACGGAATTCATAAGTTGTGGAGGAAACAAGACTAAGTAGACATTCATACGTATATACTTAATTATTTATTTAATTTCATGAATTTTTCTAAGTTAACCCCTTACGAGAAATAGGAATCACTGTCAATTAGATTAATTAATATGAGCAAACCCTAGGGCTAAACATACCTATATATTATGTCCTCGTCTTCACTCTGGTTCTGGTTCTGGTTCATTATTCGAGTGAAAATATTAAAATATAGTATAGTTTTAATTCTAACTGAAAATGTTTACGGTAAATTAAAAGATAATTAATAACACAATATTAAAGAGCTATAATTTGACCTCTTTAATATTTTAAACAAATAACGTCACGACGATTATCCCAGGTGGGGTAGTAAGAGACATTTTCAACTGTCCACATTTCACAAGGAATTCAAATTAAATATCACAAATATTGTAATACTATGTTTATTCATGAAGCTAGTAAATATTTTTTCTACAACTAAAACGTCCAGAAGTTTCCTTCAAATAACAGTAATAACAACGATTAACTATAGTTTAATGTTAACACTGTGTTTTACGAGCATAACTCATAAGCTAACATGAGTAAGTTTCTAATATAGTAGAGAAAATATTTAAATAAGTACTTAAAAACTGAAATTCCTCTTTCCCTAATAAGTATATATAAGTACATATCGACTAAGAGACATAAACGAAAAGTTTTGTGGAGTAGAGCAGATGATATTGACATAGTCTATTCGTATTATTATGAATCATACGAGGCTTTACTTGAATTACACCAACAAGGACTAGAATGCAACTCAAGTTGAATGTAAAAAAAATGATAATTTATATTTATATCTCACTACGGTCAAAAGTAATAAAATTAAGAAGCGACCAAATAAATCTATCAATATACCTTAAAATATATCAAATAGTTAAATATTTATTAATATGACTTGTACTTGTTCATTCAAAAACCTTTAGTATCAACATACCTATTGTTTAAAATGTGTATTTATTTACAAATACTTATTACTGGGATGCTAAATAAATGGCATTGAGTTTAAATAAATCTATTCACAAAAAGTAGTCTGTTATTAATATTTGAGTATTTTCTCACTTCCTCTCAATGCTCGAAAGAGAAAGGGACAAATAGATTTAATATATGTCCATTAGATAAGAGCCTTGTCTATCCTACCTTATATATCTTTTTATTAGATACATATTGTTTTATTATTACTATTATTATTTTCTTCACTAACATTGTTATTCTATCTCCGTAGATGGGTATTATTTAAACATGGCTTTACAACAAAAGATCCTTATATTCTATTCAAGCATTTGATTAAAGTGTAACTTTGCATATAAACTAAGGTTTGGATGTGATGAAATCGATTATATCGCTCCGGTCATAAAAATCTTCTCGTCTTCTAATCGACTTGTTCTAAAGAGTTGTTCACTGAGCTTTAGTATCATGAGGATGTCATTAAATCGATCCACTATATCCATTTTATCGTTAATAACTTTGTAAGCTTTGACTTTGTCTTATAAAGAAAGTACTTTCTAACTTACCAGCTAGATATATTATATAATGTAAGACGTTTGTTATAATGTAAAAAAATATGAAACTTTGTTTATTATGGAGACAAGCACGTATTAAAATTTAATGTGGCACCTACATATTTTAGACTGGGTATATGTCGCAGCGTTGATTGTGTGAAAAAACTAAGCATCTTTGTTAAAAATTAAATATAAAAAATGTATAATATAAATGCGTTTCTGGTGGTATCTACCAAGATAGTAAACACTCGACAAAAATCGTGGGTGTAAAGCGGAATATTAACATATTCTATTACAGGAGCATAAATATAAAGTACTTTTGACAGCTGGACAGTTGCTAATGGAAGCTGAAATAAAACAGACAGAAAGTACTATCCTATACGTATTGTCCTCTATGTAACGTACACTTATTCCATTAAAGCATTCACCAATCTACTCATGGAAAATACAAACAAATTTAACATATTGTATTTACAAATATGTTACACTTTCTACGCTATGTAATATATATTACTATGCTATATATATATTATATATTATTATAAAAATAATAATATATAATATATATTATTTTTTTCGTCGCTAACATTAATAGAAAAAGAAAAAGTAAAAATTGGATTGTAGTTTTAAAATTAGGTGGAATATAAATTACTTGTCGAAATTTTTGGTTTAAGAATAATTTTTGGATTGTTATCTGTATGATTTTAAGTCTTCATTTCGAAGCCAAGTTTTTTCGAGTACAGGTTTATCCCTGTTCATCCCTGTCCATCCTTTACAATGTAGATCAAAGTCTTTTATATAAGATTTCTACATATGAAAGTCAGCCAAAACATACATCATTCTGTATACAATAATTTCTTTGTGTATAGCTAAATATTAGGTTAGTTAATGACTAAATAAGGTTAGTAACCCTGGCTGTTATATTAACCAGTTATTTTCTATTTAGGACAAAAAAGAGGTTACTCACCGCATTCGCCTTCATGCTTCACACGCAGGTTGAGTCGCCGTTCACAGGCTTCTTTCCGTAAATGGCAATGATTGCGGTAAGTGCGGCCTGTGGTGGAACATACTGCGGCTGCCGAGTTTGTGCAGCTTACGGGGCACGCGCAATGCGCTCGTCCGTCCCCAAGAGATACACACTCGGCCCCCCATCGGCAGAATGTCTTTTCGCATGCTTCTGAAACATTTTAATTGGGATATAATATACTGTTTATACATACAGTCATTTCATTTCATTTAACAATCCGCGTACACTTAGATTGTAGAATGAACTACCTGCCGAGGTTTTCTCACGAGACTGTGGTTTTTCAGGAAGGGTATATTAAGGTTTCTCAAGAGTCGGAAATGCGGACGTAACACCCCTGGTGTTTCAGGCGTCCATAGGCTACGGTAACCATTTACCATCAGATGGGCCGTATGCCTGTTTGCCACCATAGTAGTATAAAAAAATACCAAGGTAGCTTGCTTAGTAAGCTGTGTTTTTGTTAAAAGCCAGATATATGGCAGTAAATTTACGTGATTTTAAACTACTTAACTTCTAAATGACAACGCATGAGTGGTATCGCGAACGTTACATGAAATGATGTCCGTGGTCTTCAGGTATATAGACGACGAATGACTGTCAGCTTGTTTACAATTTCAATGACATAAAAATATGTAATAATAGATTATATGTAAAGTATCGTATACATATTTTTAGAATTGGGAATTAAATTTATTAATTTATATTATTTATTACTTATAATGTATATAACAATATAGATACTATCAGAGTCCTTTTATCTGTTATTATATTTAAATATGTGCTATTCTCGATATACGTATTTAAATAAAATTAGGTACGGACTATTAATAATCGCCGCTCAAAAACGGAGTTTCACATAATTTTAAGGCGTCCTTTAATATATTTATTATTAGGCAATTTTTGTCATTACCTTTACGACTAGAGTTACTGTATGGAGTATTAGGAAAATATAATAACGTTAATACTATGAATAAAAAATATAGTACTTAACTAATACAATCGAATGAAAAATATTTGTTATAATTAATAAAAATAAACAATTTATTATTCTAAACCCACAAATATGAATAAATATGACAAATTTTTACTCTTGTCATGACTTTCAATATCTGACATGTTAAGAACAAAATAAAGATCTTAATAAGATTTTAACATCAATTACCGTTATTTTCAGTGTAAATATCATTGACCATTTATTACTTTTTTTTGTTATATATGATAATAGAAATTTAGTTATTATTCCCCTCTCTTTTAATTGTTACGAGAAGAGCCCCTCTCTTCTTATATAACAATATACATACATAATGCTAATTATTGCTTTAACAAAAACGTATTTATATATAAATTTTACAGTATGTATAAAATTTCACCTTGTACATCACTTTAATAAATTGATACAGAACTGACCCGGAGAGTAGCCGCAAGGTAAAAAAGTAAGCACAAATAGATTTAGGCGGGCATCAAAACCATATAAACACAGATGAGCGGCGGTTATACACAGTTTTCAATCAGAATCAATTATTAAGGTATCATTGTAATATGAATAGCAGTAATAAGAGGGGATCTTGGAACGAACAAAGTGGTATAAAGTGAACTCTTTGAAAGGACGTAATTTTCAAGTCCATGAAGAATGACACAATTTCCAATTTTCCACCTGGGGAATCGGAACCGTGACTAAATTATTAAGAGGTCTAAAATAAGATACGAATATCCGATTTGCTACAGCATTGTGTTAGCGCAGACATTGGGGATTACGGATCTCTATCGTGTAGTTAAAATTCCAAGCAGAGATTGTCAGACGCAAAGCCACAGAGCGGTTTGACAAAAGTTAATTTACGACTTTCTTCACGATTGAGCTCTTCTGGTTGTAAAATAGTATCTATACCTAGCTATAAACTCATTCTTTTATAAGTTAGATGCTAAATTTGTATCTTCGACAGAGATCTCCGTGATGTGTTATATATTATTACATAAATAATTTTCAGCCAGCATTAATTAATTTTTTTAAATGTCAAAATAATTTAGTTAGTATTAAAGTACTAATACAATGCATTTTTGTCTAAGTACCATTGTGTATGTAGGTTTTCGCAGTGCCCTAGACCGTAGTCTAGGCTAACCTGTATTATTGATAACTAGTGCACTCATATAATATATTATATATTAATATTATAATATACTATTAATATGTAATTATATGTGCCACATAAGGTACCACGAGAGCTATGATATTAAACTATATCTAATTTAAAACCCAATTATGAATATCACCTGATTACTATATACACACCTGATCGTAATTGTCTAGAATGATTTGTAATATCTAATGCATTTTATTCAAATAAGAGATAAAAGAGTGATCTCTAATATCCCGCTTATCTGTATTGGATTGAATCCAATCACACGATATGCGGTGAAGTAAAAGAAAGGTTTGAATCGTAAAAAGGTTTCACCTGCCTGGAGGTATGCCTTTATAATAATGTAATCTGAAAAGCCACGAAATAAATTTTCCTTTATGTAAAATTAAACTGCGGCATGAAAAAATTGATCGTAACTTGTTTAATAAACAACTTGGTTCGATTTTCAAGCCTCGAAATTAGAGTTCTTGTAGGATCATCGAATTTTGTACTGAAATTCTGGTTCAGATAAAATAAGTAGGAGAGCATTATAGTTGCTAAAAACGTTGGTATTTCTTTATACTATGATGATTTCTGTATATTAAACTAAAACTGTGAATATTTATTTACTGTACGTACAAATTCAAATAATTCTATCGATTTTTAAGTACATAGCTAGTAAAATATAGTTTTACTCTTCCACAATATTTTAGGTTAATAATCTAATATCCATAAAATAAATAGGTTTACCAAAAAGAAAAGTTTTCTATATATAAGTCACATGTAAGTAAAATAAACTATAGTGATACGTGATACGAGTAAGAACAGTAGTTGTATTAGTGGTTAGGGAATACGTTGTATGTATTCGGGTAAGAATAAGGCATCGATTGTGTAAGCAAATTCTTATGGGAAAAGCAACAAAGTTAGTTTACAACCCAAAAATATCAAATAAACAAATAGTATGTTTATTTCTGTACCAATACGTTAATTTGAAATGTATTAGATAATATAATATTATTATATTATCTAACACATTTTAAATTATTGTATTAGTCATATGGCATCATTTCTGATTATGACCACGGTAGGCTGACCTCAACATGATCCCCCGAAATTTACCGTGACTAATTTCTGTTGAATTTGCCACGATGGCCTAACTGACTTGATATAACTCTCATCCTATCATCATCCACTAGTACGCCGCAGGGTATATCGTTTAGTAGTTAGTTTTAATCTACTACTGGTAAACTCAGTTTTTGTACTGCCAAAAGATAATAAAAATAAACTTGTATACATGTAGAATAGTTGCATTGTATATTTTACGAAATAAATAAATTGTGTTAAAACAAAAATTTAATGTTATTGTGTAATTACGAAATATCTTTATGTAATAAATTTGTGTTCAGCACTTTATAATAATATAAAATAAATACTGTGATAATAGTACTTCAGGATCGTAATCTCTATTGATGAGAAAATGCTTTTGTGTCAAATATTAAGTCGAAAAGATACCTTTCAATTTCAAGCCTCAAAGACAATCGTATTTATAGAGATCTGTTTAGTAGAAACGTTCTGTATCTGATTTGATAACGATAGAAGGCGACAATTTCGTCTTAATATTTCGTTTGTCTGTTGAGAAGATTGAACATCAGAATTCAACCGCAAACTCATTTCCTTGACTTTTATATAAAGGCCGTCGTCGAATCCGCTTAAAGAAAAGAAAGCATCCGGAAATAACAATTTCGTAAGAAACAAACAAAATGTTAGAACGCAAATCGCTGTAAGAGAAGCCTGAGATAAATGAAGACAGGAGGGGGAGATAAAAATGATGGCGGATGCTGTGTGAATGGAAGAAAATTAGGAAATGCAACGTTTTTGAGTCCAACTGCTGTATTCCGGTAATCATATTACATAAGTTGTCTAAGAGGAATTTTGCGAATCAAACTAATTACACTTAAACTGAAACTGAAACTTAAAATAAATCATTACATACAAATTAATATGAATTTTATTTATGATTTGATATATATGTATAACAGTAACGGCTGAAATAGCTATATATATATCAATAAGAAATTATATAGTTAATAAAATAGGTTATTTAAATTATTATTTTAGTTACTAATTTTATAAATCTTTATAGAAACTGTAGTAATAAATTATACAGACTAATATACATCCTAAACTACACTAATCTTATAAATGAGAAAGTACGTCTGTCTCTCAGTCTGTGCATTACCTTTATATGACTTAACTGATAAATAGATCATAATGACAATTTATATCAAAATAAAATGTAGGTACTATGATCATAGACTACCATTTATCTCTTAAAAAGAATAGTTTATTTATAATACAAATAGAAATAAGAGAATAAAGTTAAAGCAGACGAAGGCGCGGGTAACTGCTAGTAGTATATAGAATACATTTATAACCTACATTTGTTTATATTCTCTAATGAACGTGAATTTGATTTACGAAAAGAGTTCATGTCACATTGTTTCGAAAGTTAGTAAATAACTACATAATAACAAATGGCAAAAACAATCTGCGAACATACAAATTTGGCTTCAGGAACGAAGGAAGTAGTGGGTAGTTTCCAACTCGAGTTGTAAATGAATATTTATGAACATTTATTTTGAACTAGTTCCGTATTCGTTCGAAGTTAGGTGGAAATGTTGTTTATTTTTAAAAACGATTAATATAAATGTTCATACCTGTGAAATATTTTATACACAATCTTTATAGATTAGAATATTTGTATTCCTTCGCAAAATTTATTTCAGTAATAAACTGTAATAATATACTGTTCTTTCATACTTCCGATATTAAGAACAGCATTATTTATTTTTTCATCAGTGTACTTGACAGTCACGGACTTGATTAAAAATACATATTCATTGTACTTATGACATTTTAGTTTATCCATTTTATATGCCATCATATCATCATAATTTTATATTTATTAGTCTTTACTTGTCGGTTATTTTAAGCAATGGCATATAAAATATATAATAAATCTGTCGTCATAACTAATTATTTATTTTTAGTAATATAAACTAAACTTTTTTGAAAAATAGTAATAACATTAGACGAAGTTAAATGTTTAGTTTAATCTATTTGAATTATAAATATAAAAATCTAATTACTCACCTTCAGGAGCAGGTGGTCTTGGTTGATAATGTAAATCTGTAAAAAGAAAATAATTATTTAGTTTTTTGAAAATACAAAATAAACATTTCAGTAATTATAATACATTAGTACAATAGTTATATTACATTTAATATAAACATATTTAATTTATGAAAAGTACATATTGAGTGGGAAATAATCATATTATTTGGATTCTAAAAGAAATTGTTTCAAAATATATTTAATAACTTTTACTGCTTTTAGTAGCTAAATTCAATTATTTTACTTTACAATAATATGATCAGAAGCCTTCTGGTTTCATTCATTAGGAATAACACAGTCGAGAAATATTATAAGTTTAGTAATTATTACCCAATTGAAAAACCTGATAAATTTTCTTATTTTTTAATTATTTGTAGGTAATAATTAAATAATACACTTATAACTTTACGAAACACTGTATTTATAATTTGTTCTCAGTAAAATAACTTAATCTGAATAATTATATTAGGTTAATTAGGCAAATTAATCTTAGGTTGTTAATCGACAATATTCAGATAAACATTATTTATACAAATCACTAATAACTTTTAATTATCACTTTGAAATCAAATCTAGTATAAATTTAAAATTGTCAATAATTATCTTCAATCGCGTATGCGCATATTGATTAATTGGTTGATCAAACCGCAATAATATAATTGCGTCGCACTGCCAAAGCCCAAGCCGCAGAATTGACTATTCGTGCCAACCACTACAATACAACATTCTCGTTAATTATGGTTATTAAAAATTGCTACAAACTTATTGTTCAGAACTCTTTGGATTGAGGCCAGTGGCGGGCATGTCACACTCACATTTTAAACATTTGTACTTTTGTATTCGATATTATTATATTATGTTACCATAGTTTTATTGACATATTCCTTTACTTGAGGTGTTTGCTTTTGCATATTACATATTTATAAATATATTACAACTGATTGGTTCACTTGATGATGATATGAGAAATATTATTATTGACGTACTTTATATATAACAAAACCGAAAACAATTATTGTTTGATTATAATTTTTGTCTGGTTCTCTGTCTGCGCGCTAATTTCAGAAATTATTTAACCGATTTCGGTGCTCTGATGTATTGTAATTAGCTTAAATTAAAAAGTTGGTTGTATTCCAATAAATTTTTAGACAAAAAAGTTAGAGTCGGCAGCTCACATTATCAAATTCTGACCCGACGTCAAAATCGCTGTTTCAGCTAGTATTAGCTGTTATTATCATCATTAATAAGCCCCAGTATCTACAATCCCATTCATACATGTGAAAGAATACGTATACTTTAGAGGTCAAAACCAGTTCTCATCATCATCAAATCCTCAGCTAAAGCAACTGTTATATTGTAATCGATATTAAAGTCATGATAAAAAGCATAGGTAATCGAAAAATTAATTAGAAATAATGAACCGATATGTCGGACGATAAATAATACGAACAAAACAAATTAAATAAAAGATTGTAGAAGTATTCCGTAATCTCATGTAAACAGTGGGCAACAATAGTTGCATTTATGTATGTACTTGTATGTATCTAAAGTCACGTATAAAGAGGACGCTGATCCAGCGACGCAGAGGGAATAGAATTCTGTGGCCAAAATGGATATACTGAGTATTTGTTAAATTTCTATGTACATACAAATGCTGTGAATAAACATGCAAGAAATATGGATACTACTAGGACCTACAGAATAATATTATTTCTTTAGAAATTAGCGATTCTTAAACCACTTTCATTATACTGAACCTGCGTGAATTAATATAAAATAAAGTATAGTATATATACTAAATAAACTTTAATATAACAAATTAAAAAGCTATATAACAATATTATTTTTCTCTGAATCACCTGTATTTGAGTAGTAAAAGTAAAAGTAAAAGTTTGGGGCGTTCAGGTTTCACAGACTTATCAAACTAGATCCATCTATTATTTTTAGAAAATGAAAATTCAAATATACACAGAAAATAATATATTGTATTAAGATCCATCTTTTTGGAATAGATTTATTTTTAAATTAACAACAAATAAAAGAATATAGCTCTGTAATAAAGACTACTTAACCATAGTGCATATAATTGGCGCAGTCCTAACTAGTCTAGAACTCTGTGAAAGAATTTAAATAGGTCTTATATCTGGCTTAACTGAAACAGTAAAAAAATGAAAAATATTCAAATCATAAACGGCTAAAATCCAGAACGATAACTTACTGGAACAATTGAACAAAGTTATGGATGTCGTTCTGAGCTGAGGTTAATTTGACATCTGAGCGACTGTTCTTTTCCTATTGCTCAATAACGACAGAGAACATTATTACATATGTCCATAATCAAAACTCTTTGTTTCAGATATTGTAAAAACTTTGAAAAAATAATAAATTCTTTCTTAGATTTTTCGTGACAATAATATTAAAAATTTACTGTAAACATCGAAATGTATTTTAAGTAAATTGTTTTTTACTAAATTTACAGTATTTAACAGGAATCTTTTACTGAACAAAAGTATTAGTAAACGAGTAGATTTATGATAAACATACCTATATACTGATCATTAACATTACACGTACCTCTACCTACTCTACTACCCTCCTTTTTGCCTTAGATATTCGGGTAAATAGAATAATAATTTCTAAACTCGTCAATGTGCATAAATAACAAAATATTTATTAATACCATGCATAAAGATTGTTCAGAATTCAGTTGTGAATTCTTAGCAACAATACAAATAATAATTTTAATTTCATTTACACGTAGTTCCGCCATCTTGTGACAGTTGTGATGCGGGGTATCAGGTGGTAGTCTACGAAAACGAATATAGAAAAAAGGAAGCACGTAATATTGAAACGACACACAATCGTGTTCAGTTAGAATTACAGGCAAAATGATAAACGTATATATAGACGTGGCATGACCAGTCAAGTGTGTCGCTGTAAGTAGAAAACTTTCGATATTATTAAATTATCTCACGAGATCGAATGAGGATGTCAGTTGCTTCGTCGATTTGTGTTTATATTTTATATACCCGAAGTATAGTAAATTGATGGTAAGATACATACAGGAAGAAAAACACAATACACTAGTGAGGCAAGAGATGGCAATATCGATATATAACAAGACTGTACAACTCGTTTATCAAGGTAGGTATTGCCTGCAGTCGACTGTACGTAGCAGTACCTATTTTGTATCACATCATCAATATATACAAATCGTAAAAAAATAACGAACCTTATCCTTTTGAAATCTGGACTTGAACTTTTTTCACCAAATACTATTTTCTCTTTTGATGTCGTATTCATCAGCTTGGAGATTATTTAAATGCTTTTGAACTGAGAAATTCATACTGAGACGCCTTTATAAATTTAAGTTGGTACCATTCCATGAATATTAAAGGCAAGGGTTCATTAAAAGTTATTTTAATCCTATCTTCGCCTGGTGCATGATAATTAGTTTACCTTGCATCCTTCTTTTTATCTGTCTAAAACGGTATTCCAAAGGTAAATCAGTGAAGTTTTCACAAAAGATTTATATTTTAGATTTGGCAAAATTGCCTTATATATCATCATATAATTGAAATAAATTATATCAGAATACAGGGTTAGATGTTAACAGAAAAAGTAGTTTTTATAGATTTTAAATATTACATAACCAGCAACTTGATCAATATATACATACGTTCCACAACACGTTTTCTAAAGTGGTTAAAAAAACTGTGGGATTATTGATACCTAGCTACTTATTACATAATCCACATATTTTACTGAAATAAATACCTACCTATATTTTCTGCACAAATTATCCCATGTACTTTTGATAAATTATAAAACAAACTCAACCTTTTCATTTTCCACCAGGGGCATAGTAAACATTTATATGCAATATGTCGAATATATTTCTTTCTACATAATTGCTCAATGGATTCGCAGGACATATCATTTCCAAATGTGACACAAAAAGGTCGCGGCTAATGGCTTCAGAGTTCGGATAAATATAAAATAGAACAAGAGGTTGGCAGCGATGCCGCAAGCTGGCGTGTGCTGGGCGCTGGGCGCTGGGCGGCACGCCATATTGTTTTATTGCAAATTGGTTGGACGGGGACCGCGCTGTCCTTTACATATACGAGGCCATTAAACTACGGCCGGTGTCCAGTCACGTGTTAAACGAATCCGATAGCAGCACACAATGTTAGACCGAGCACCGATTCTACTGTCATCTAAAGAACTCGGCATCCAAATTAAGCCAGCTACATACAACGGAACCGTATTTATATTTATACCAAAGAATTTATAAAGAATCTATGAATTTAATTAAAATAGCATTAATAAAGGTAAAAAGAGTACTGTTATTTTAAGTGTGAAGCTTATGTTTGGTTATTTGTTACGAAACCATTGAAAAATAAAGGAACATAATTTTTACGCTAAATTAACACAGGACACTTGCTGGTTTTTTATTGATGCTCCGCACTATTGGTCGTAGCGTAATGGTAATATAGACTATTATAGCCTTTCTCGATAAATACTAAACCAACAAAATACTAAACTAAACAATTTTTTTCATATCGAATCAACAGTTCCTAAAATTAGTACTCTCAACCAGTTAAAAGAAAACAGACTCATCAGCTTTATAATATTAGTATAAATTAAATTTATTTGGTCTAAGACAATATTGCTCAGATTTGACACTAGGACCTGTACCAAGCTGTACGATAATTCAGGTACAAGACAGTATGTAATTTTATGTTATCTGTGGTACTAGTAAAGTGGAAATAATGTTACATTACTATTATATGAGCCTGATATTGGTTCTCTGTTCTATTATGCCAAGCATATTATATTTATGCTAGCACGTGTTACCTGAGCGCTGTTTACTGGCACTCTTATCATATTATCATATGAAAGGACCAAACAATAAATTTCTAAAAATGTATGTTACGAAAATCATTATAATAATATAACAAACAACTCCAACTTTCCTTATTAAATACAGATAGGTATTTATCTAACTTTTAGTA